GGACAAATAATCAAGAATTATTATTGGAAAGTTCATCCAAATTTCTGAAATTATTCTTGCAACCTGATACTAGCAAGGTCAATAAAACTTTTTTTAAAAAACATGCACCACATAAAAATAAAATAAAGTTGTTGTGTCCACCAAAAACTAAAAAATAAATATGGAAAAATTCTCTCTCTCTCTCTCTCAAAAATAAAAATAAATAAAAATAAAACCTTTCTGGTCCTGGTAAACAGAGGCTGAAGAAAAAGGGATCCCCAAAAGAAAACTGGACCCATAATTCATTTTGCAGAAGAGGGCTTGGGGAGAGAGTGCCAGCCTCCAGGAGAGCCTTGCACCCCAAAGGCCTGAGCACAAACAGGGGAGTCAGGTAGCAGGTGGGAACATGTGCCGCAGTCCAGCTGCAGTAAACTAACATGGGGTGGGGGGGGGAGTGATGAGGAACTTGTGTACATTGATACAGCAGGAGTGGGAGCCGTTTATTGTAGGACAGGAGGGGTGTATATATACATTCCACACAGCTTATCTTAATTAGCATAAACTAGATACAGCAGTCAACCAATAAGGAATCTCCACACTTAATGGCTCGCTGGCGTTACTTCATAAACCATTCCCTCTGGCAAAATGCCAGGTGCCATCTTGACTTGTTTACAGACCCTAACAAACATGTCCTCAGGGGTCTCCCTTTGAGGAAGGAATACAATTCTTAGTGGAAAGAGGGCTCTACAGCTCAAAATATGCCTGCTACCATTACACAAATATATAAAAAAAATAAAAATATAAAATAAAAACATGCTATCCTGGGCTAGGATTTAACTCAGTGGTAGAGCACTTGCCTTGCATGTGTGAGGCACTGGGTTCAATTCTCAGTTCTGCATATAAATAAATGAATAAAATAAAGGTCTGTCAACAACTAAAGAAAAAAACATGCTGTCTTAATTTTTGTTTTGGGGATGCTTCTATTTAGGACTTAATTAAAATCAGAAAAAATGTATTGCTTTTCAGAAAGTCTTCCTTAAAAACAACAAAAAACCTAGATGCCAAACAACACAATCAACTTGGAAACTACATAATGTGTATTAAAATTAGAATATCAAAAAACTAAACTTTTATTTTCCTATTGTTTTCCTATATTAGTGCAGAATTTAATAAAACAAAAGTCTGTAACTATAGGTGTTCAGTTTTATAGAGACAATATGAATTCTCTGTTGTTTCACTAACAGGTTATTCTTTCATCTCATTATCATTCTTTGTTAGAAATTATGCTACCGCTGGGATTGAGTTTTTATCCATGATTATTTGAATACATGTTTCATTCCTCACAACAATGGCCCAAACCAGTACTAAACAAGATAACGCAAAATAATGTCTTCAAACAAGATGAAAATTATGTAATGTAAATCAAACTAATATTCCCTGTTGGCAGCAAAGAAAATGGCTGGGAAATTAACTTCTCTTAGGAGGTGTTAAGGACTCTAAATAGCTTCTTAAATAACTTATCCATTTTCTGAGGATAAGTGGTCCTGAACAAGAATGAACACAAGGAAATAACTGGTTAAAATGAAGGTAATGAGAAGACTGAAGAGGTAAACATATTAATTGGGATATTTCAGACTGCACACTTGGAACAGAATTTATTCTAAGGTTTATCCTCTTATATTCTATGCAAAATAGCTCACTAGATTTTAAAATGTATTAATGACATTCAGTAGATTATTTTAAGTATAAGAGGATTTAACATTGGGCTTGGGGTGTATCCTAGTGGTAAAGTGTGTGCATAGTGTGCACAAGGCCCTGGGTTCAATACTCAGCATCAATGAATTGAGAGAATTTAACACTAATTATGTGATTCTAGCATGCAGAATTAATTGCATATTGAAAAAGCAAATGGACAATTTAGAAAATATACCTAGACCTCCTGGTAGAGATTTGACCATATTCTTCAGCTGGGCAATTTCTAGAGCCTCCCAGAGTCTGTCATCTGTGCATTTGCACTCTGGATCTAAATTAAACCTGTAGGGAAAAAATAGTTTAAAATAATAAAAATATATAAAATAAAAGAGAAATTTCAATATATATTTGCCCATTGCTTTTCTTTCCTTAAAGTGCAATTTTCATAAATGTTTTTGTTTCTGCTTTTTATTCAGCACCTAGAACAGTGCTCAGAATAGAGCAAGCACTGAATTCATGCTTAATGAATGAATGAATGAATGAATAAACTTAGGGTTATCAAAAACGTTTTGATGACATCATTAGGTAGATTTACATACATAATAACAATTTTTAAGATCATTTTTATTGGTGCATTGTAATTTTACACAAGAGTGGGTTTGTTGTTTACATATTCATACATGCACATGATTTGGTCAGTTTCATTCCCTAGGACCTTCCTTTTCTCTCCCTTCCTCCTCCATCCTGGTCTCTTTCCTCTACTCTACTGATCCCCCTTCTATTTTCATGGCATACACTTCTTTTTTATTCTCTCTCTAGCTTCTACAATATGAGAAAACAGAATCCTTGACTTTCTGAGTCTGGAATATTTCACTTAAAATAAATTCACAAGTTCCATCTACTTTTCTACAAATGACATAATTTCATTCTTTTTTTCTGAATAAAACTCTATTGTTTATATATCCCACATTTTCTTCATCTATTCATCTGCTGATAGACAGATGACCTAAGCTAGTTCCATAATTTGGCTATTGTGAATTGTGTCTCTATAAACACATGTATACATATATCACTATAGTATGCTAACTTTAGTATAAATACCAGGGAGTGGATATATCTGGGTCATATGGTGGTTCCATTCCTAGTTTTTTGAGCAACCTCCATATTAATTTCCTTAGTGGTGGTACTAATTTATAATCACACCGGCAATGTAGAAGTGTTCTTCCCCCCCATATCCTCTCCAGCATATTATTTGTGTTCTTGATGACTGCCATTCTAACTGGAATGAGATGGCATCTCAATGTAGTTTTGATTTGCATTTCCCTGATTATTATAGATATTGAATATTTTTTCATATACATGTCAGCCATTTGAAATACAATTAATTTTGTTCCTTGGATTTACCTACTCTATATTATACTTAGTATAACTTGATTAGTGTCTTACTAATATTCCTGAAGAAATGATGTTAAATACATAAATCAATATGGGAACATATGCAACTTTAGATAAGCTGGGTTGCACCAACAATAATAGTGGTATTCAGAATAAATACACTCAGAGATATAAATTGACCATGGTATTGTTAAACAGCTTGATAATCTAGAACTTTATATCAAAGTAACTTCACAGGTGAGTATTGAGAAATCTTACATACAGAAAATATAAACAACAATTAAAAGGAGGTGGCAAGTACTTCTTTGTGATTAGTGAATGGTAGAGAAGAAAGGACATAGGATGAATGAAATGACAAATGTGATCTCAGGCGGGTGCGAACTTCAGGTGAGATCTCAGTTTCACCACTTCCTAGGTGTATGAACTTGGGCAAGTTATAGCTTCTTTGTGTTTCAAAATACTCACTTGTAAAATGGGGATAACAACAATCTAGAACAACGTTTTAAGAACTTCATCAGACAGGTCTATTTAAAGTACTTAACAGATAGAAAATACTTCCAGTTTTTGTTGTTGTTATTGTTGTTTGTTGTTGTTGTTGTTGTTTTGTGTGTGTATGTGTGAAACCATGATCCAGAAATAAAGAAGACTGTAGCAACCTCTTCCCATCAGTTTGTGGCCGAAAGTAAGGTTGTGAAGGATAGCGAGACAAGCAAAGAAAATAACTAAGTTCAGAGTTATCAGTTCAGGCTAGGCCAGGCACACAAGAGTTAGGCAGGTATCTGTAGGTTAGAATACCTAAGAAATGTCTTCCAAGAATCACTGCTACCAATTTTTCCTCTGAACTATAATCAAACTAAAAGAAAAGAGCTCTTGGAAACACAGGGATTTGGCTTTTATGGGTTAATTTACCAACTCTAGGATTTCCCAACTCAAATCTTTGGACAGTCTATTTGATTTTAACATTTTGATAATTTTTTCACATCTATCTGAAAAATAACTCACAAAACAAAACCAACCTGTGACCTGAAGGAGGAATACTAAGGCCCACAGATTTTTGTTGAATGTTACCCACCTAATAGAACCACTGAATAGTATTGGATCCTGCAGAATGATAGAAAGCCTAGAACGTAGCGTATGCAGTGGCAGTTTAGAAATGTCTATCCCATCGATGACAATCTTTCCTGTGAAGGAGAAACAAAAATTACAGGCATGTGGTAAACTCACAAGTAAAATTTTCATTTGTTTACAAACTAAAGGTTTTTTCCTAGCACCAATTAAATTCTGAAAATAAAGCTTTCCATTTAGGAAACATTATGACATGTTTCTGAAAAGGGTAATAGTTTCCCTTTCTTATATGTACTTCTCTTAAGGAAATTTTCAGTTTTTATTCAGTTTATATGGCCTTATAAGCCCAAAATAGTTTTTATAATTTTCAGGGTCCTTTCTTTTCTACTCTTCCTTTATACCCCTTCCTTGCTTGATTTATCTTCTTGGGATTGACCAGAATCTGATCTGACATATTCATATTCATTCTCCCTTTCTCTCTCCATATATAATATATATAATATATATGATTATTTATGTGTATGTGTATGTGTGTGTGTATGTATATATATATTATATACTCACTTATTTCTTTAATGCTCTCTTTCCAAATTAAAACAAAATTTTCTTGAAGACAAAGCTTTTTTTGTCTTGTCTTCATTCACTCCTGTATCGATTGACTAGCACAATGCATTACAAATAGGAAAGTGAATTCTATGATAGATATCATTTTTTTTTTGCAAATTATGCAATCTTGATCTTCTTTCCTCAACTTTAGATAGAATTATTTTATCATCTCATTTGTATGCAAAGACAGCATCACCCTGGGAGATAAGTATGCTAAGCTCAAAATGGCAGGTGCAGTCCTTTCACCTGGTAGATCTAGACTTGAGGGCAGGTAAGGGTGAGAAGCTTAAGCTGTGTCTTTCAGGAATAATATGTTATTTATTAAACTATTAATTACCTAGTGCTACTAAAAAGTGAACAAGTCACTGAGAGTTCACATGGAGCCTGAAATCATGTTCTAGACATGTGGGCATCAGGCTATCCTAATATGATTGGTCAGAACCACAGGTTTTTATGAAAACTTTCCGCCAATGGCCTTTTGACTGTGTACTTGTCTTGTAACACTGCTAACCCAGGGATGGATGCCTACATTGCTCTGGAATTTAACACACCACCACCAATTCCAGATACCACAGTTGAATGTTGTTGTTTATATGCAGATCTTTTTATGTCATGTAGATGAAATTAAAAACTGTAATCTTTCAAGTACAATAAAAATGTAAAGTACTATAATCATCACAGTCATTGTAGGTAATAATAGTAAGCTCTTCCTTGGGATGGGGGTCAAGTTCATTCTTAGATTCCCTTTAATTTGAGGTGTCTTCTATGTCTTTTCTGCTGACCTATTTATAGGCCACTTGACAAACTAAATAGTGTGACATATTTTTTTTCTAAAATACAGATTAAATTAAATTATTTCTATGCTCTTACCATAGATGAATAAATATTTTTGTATGTTATTTACATGAACTCATAGCACTTCATAGCAAAGATGTTTGACGTTATTAATCCATGTTACTCAGAAGATGAGGCACGAGTCATGCACCAAAATTTAAAATACACATTATTCATTTCCTTGTAGAATTTCTTTCTTTGATGGAAAAACATATATTTTTAGTTTGAGGAAAGCAAGACAACGTTTCCATCTTTCTTCCTCTTGAAATGCAACCTACATCTACTGCTCTTCAAAGTGGACAGCCATCTGCATTTTACCAGTTCATTCGAACTCTTTAGCAGCAATCTCTACACTTTAGCTTAGGGCTAATCATTTTATTTTCCCAATTCTATGTTCTTTCTTTATCTTTGGGTTATTTATTTGGGACATTTGCTTTGAACCACGTGAGGGCACAAAGTCCTTATAAATATTTGCTTTTTTATTTTTGCAGAATTAGATAACTTGAAAATGTTTTTGAAAGGAAAGCACCATATAACTGATTTAAAAAATTAATTAACAACTTACCATCAAATATATCAACCATTCTGAAGAAAGCCAGCGATAAGGAAGACTTTCCGCTGCCGGTGCGACCACATATGCCCACCTGAGAAAACAACTGTCACTCAAAGAGAAGAGGACTCAGAGAAAGAACAGAAAATGGACAAAAGTATAATTGGCTTAGAAACGATATGACAAAAACACAGACTATTTGAGTAGTCTCATTAGAATCTCATTTTCTCCTTAGATCTTACGAGCTATCATTATTAAAATAAAAGCATGAAGTCCTCACCTGATCCTCAATGAATACATTCAAACTCTTTTCCTTTCCATATGGTTGTATCGTTTTTCCTTCATGGTGCAATTTTTGCATATAGCATGTCATTTTATTTTATCTTAGAAATGATGAGTTTATAACAAAAAGTAGAATGAGTCCATTCCCCCCCCCCCCGCCCCCGAACACTTATTCTTTTTACAATATTGAAAGAGCAAGACCTTTTCCTTGGCAAAGGTTCCCAAGGAAATGTCTGATATGGTCATAGCCAGAAGCCATAGATTTTAAACAAAACACCTACTGTTAACATTTCTGATTTTCATGGGAGATGAATGAATGGCAATCTGACCTAGAGAACATGTATTGTACTCTGATCCTGTCTCTCCCTCTCTCCTTTTACAGGTTCTTGTATCTACACCACGCAGGGAATACGATCAGAGCCCAGTGAGATTACATTTACTAGGCTTCGATGTTCAAAGAGCTTAAGGAGTGACAATGAGCTTCATCAAAGTTTTCAAGGTATAAAACAAATCAAATAGCATTGAATTCCATACCTTTTGCCCAGGTTTGATGTAAGCCTTGACATGTTTAAGAACAGGCTTCAGATTGTTTTCATATCTGACACACAGATCATGAATCTTGATCTCTCCTTCCTGTGGCCAATGTTCTGGAACCTGAGAAGGATCTAGGGGTTGGAAGGACAGATAGATAATAGGTAAATAGATATATATGGAGAAACATACACAAGCTTAAATATGTCTATATGCATTTTTTTTTGGTTCTGGGGATTGAACTCAGAGGCACCCGACCACTGAGCCACATCCCAGCCCTATTCTGCATTTTATTTAGAGACAGGGTCTCATTGATTTGCTTAATGCCTCGCCATTGCTGAGGCTAGCTTTGAACTCATGATCCTCCTGTTTCACCTCCTAAGCCGCTGGAATTACAGGTGTGTGCCACCACACCTGGCCTGTCTATATGCAATTTTAATAAAGATTTTAATATATGTAATCTTTCCTAAACTTAAAATATTATTGAATCCAAATCTATAATAGTTTATATTTTTTAAAAGTAAGTCACATTGGAAGTAAACATGTCTTGGTTAAGAATTTTAAATTTTTTTAAATGTTTGGTTTTAGGGCATTAACTAGGATCATGGCTCTTCAGTCTTTCATCATTCAATTCTATTCACAGTGAATACAGAGAGATTATTTTTGAACTGATTTATTTGTTCAGTTAGTTAATCATCAAACATAGGAGTGCTTAAGATGTGAGAGTGCTATGCATGGTGCTGGATATGGAGATGAAAGACGTGGCTTGAGGTGCCTTCTGTGTCCTGGGGAGGGACATGAGGCATTTACACTATTATATGGAGAGCCACATGGTGCAGGGAAACCAAAGGCACACTGGGAGCACAGATGGTGGCAATCTGAGCATTCCACCAGGCTCCAAGAAGATAAGAATCTTAGAAGATAAGAGATGGGGAGCTCTGTTCAAATATGTCTAAGAGAAGAAAAGAGATGAAAAGGAAGCATAGCATGCTAGTGAGGCCAGAGTAGAAGTTGTGCAAGTGACAATGAGAAATGAGACTAGGTTGGTGGCGAGAGTTAACTTATGCAGGGTCTGGTGGTCTTAGCTAAGTTATCTAGGTTTTTGTCCTTGGAGAGCTATAAAGTCATGGAAGGATTTAGACAAAGATATGCATTTTAAGTTTGAGATTTGCATTTAATAAAGATTATTCTGTTCTCAGTATTGAATTTCCTGCCAGTTTTATTCCAACAGAATTGAGAATCTCATTTAGTATTTTAAGATCTAAGTTTCTTGACTTCTAAGTTAAAAAGGTCTTAAGGAAGAAAACTCAAGAACTCGTAGTTTAGATTGGCAATTAATGCAATAAAGCCCCAATATTTTTACAACTCTTTAAATATTATAAAATAATGTCTACTTGGACTCTAATTGAGCCCAAGACTTTTCAGGTCTAAACAGTCCTTTTTTTCAGGTGTTCAATCAAGCAAAATCAAGATAAGAATATTAAAGTGGTCAACAAAAGCTAAACAACAATATGCCTGACACACATGTAATATTTGCTGAACATAATATTTAATTGAAAAAAAAATACCCATGGTGCCTTCATAGTTCTCAGACTCCATACTCAAGAAGCTGTTCACTTTCTTGACTGCACCCATCTGCACCTCCAGGTCAGCCAAATTCCTCACAACCCAGTTCAAATAATTGGTAATCTGTGTCAGGTGACAAAAAATTCACATATTTAAAATTAAGGTAAACAATTTTCATATTTATAGGATATTTGGGGATTGGATGACTTGGATGCTGGTGTTCATCATGTGGTATAATCTGTACTTGCTGTAAGTCATCAGAGACCAGGGAGGACATCATGGGAGATGTTGGCAAAGAAGATGTCTGCTCTTCTTCAAGGTTCTCCCTTGTCACTGTTCTGTGAACTGTCTTCTGACATCCCTCGCACAGTGGGTCATTGTGTACATTACTGTTTGCATGAATCTCATTTATTTCCACACTCATTTTAGTGTCCCCAACTGGATTGTGAACAACTTAGGATAGGGATTTCAAGCAACATGAAGAGCACTCATCATAGAACTTGAGAAGCTTTTAAAAATCAGTTTGCAATTTCAAAAATGGAGCCAACCTGTCTAAAATGTTAGATTTGGGTTCCAAACTATCATTCTTGGTAAGATGTCATTATCTATTTCGAACTTATCCTCTTATGTCCATGAATAAGAGTTGGCAATAACTACAGAATGTTCCTCCACTGCTGCACAGAAAGAGATATTTTCATTCATATTCATACCTACCGTAAGTGCATAGAGGAGACCCAAGCCCACCAATCCAGAATTGGACGACCCACTAATGGAAGCAATAGATGCAGTAAGGACAATGCAAGCTCCCAGGTAATCCTGAAAAAGAGCAAGCAAAAAGTCACAAAATTATTCCCAAGTTCTTAAACCAAAAATGTCCACTAAGGTGATCACCATGTGTTCTGTTACATTTCAGAGGAAGGATACCTAAGATATGGAATAACGAGAACCAATATTACACCTGGAAAAGGAGAGTGGTGCCACACTCTCATTATATAAGATAGGGGTTTTCAGAAGTTAAATACCTTTTACCTTCTCAGAAGTTAAGCTGCAATTGGTGTCAGAAACAAGACTTTGCCCCCACCCCACATTTATATACATTGTGTTGCCAAGACAAGCCACATTTTTGGACCTGATTTTCTAGCTTATATTTCACATGTGCTTTTGTCGGGATTGCAATAGCTTCTCTGTGTGGTAGAGTGAGATCCTTGCAGAAATGTCCCTCTATTTAACTTGTTGGCAACTGTATCTGAACTTTTTGCCAACTGTGCTCAGAGTCTGGGACATTAGATCTGCTGAACTATGTAAATGAGAATAAATGCTATATGTGCTCATAAAGTATGCACATGTCTCAGAGTACCTAAATTTTTCCATGATTCAATGATAAACTCTATTGCAAAACTTTAAAAATTCACGAAGGTCAACCTTAGACTCAAATGGGAGTCAGCAGACATCTGTTTATTTCCTAACACCCTCTTCATTCCCCATTTCCCAATCTTCTTAGGTATTGGTCTGTCCTCTTGTTTGAAAAAATAAATCCAAAAAACTTCTCATGCTGATGTGTCACAAGTCCCAGAAGCAGGTAGAATTTCAGACTTGGATTCCCTAGAATGATCTCAAGTTTCACTCCACTGGTGAACCCCTTCTCTAGCTTGACATATCTGTGATCCTCAAAAAACAAAACAAAAAAACTAGCAACTTGGTGATAAGACTTTATTAACAGTAATGGAATGTTTAATGTGCTGAAATAAATGAACGAAACTTCTCCAATCAGTTCACACATGTGCATTGTTGACTCTTTGAAAAAAGAGTTCTAAAGATCAAGCTGTTGGAGAACAAACAGTATCTCAGCCTTGGAATCCAAACCTGGGTTCAAATGTTGGCTTTGCCAGTTACTAGCTAGTGGACTCAGACAAGTAATTTAAACCCCCTTGATTCTCAATTTTTCTTCAAAAAATATAAATAGTGCCTAATTCACAAAGATTTTAAAAGAATAAATAAGTTAAGTACCAGTTAGATTTCCTCATCTCCATTCATCAGATGTCTTTCTTCTCCTGAATGATTTTCAAACATTTGAAGCCGGCTTAAACATGTGCATCCATTATAAGACATCAAAGATCAAAAGAGGCACTAACATTTAATTCTATATTGATTCCCATAATTGTTATAAAGGATTAAAAAAATTAATCATGTAGAGTTCATCCCTTGGGATAAAGAGTTCCACAAAGGTAGTAAATACTCCTTCACTTTTTTTGATGTAGTCATTGCTAAGGATTTACCACATTCCAACCAGACAGTTCTTCTTCTTTTCCCCTTTATTTGAAGCAGTAACTGGATGGAGGCAGAATCTAACCAGTCGGGATTATTTTTTTCATGGTTTATAAATATCTATATGAGCCCCTCAAATACTTCTAAAACATTTGTAGCAATGATTTTTTTCCTTCTTAGCCCTCATGTAAAGTGCATACTTTCAAAATCATGTGATACATTTGTTATTTACATATTATCTTTCCCAAAAATACTCATAAGAATTTTCGGCGATAAGTTGTAAAAAGGAAATGAGTACAAGAGGATATTTACAACAAGGTATTCCTAGCAGTATGTAGAGAAACACAACACTCAGCTCCTGAGAAATTTCTGTGAGGATGTATACATTAAATGTTAGGAGCAAGGCTCTTTGTTATCAATTTCTATTCTCTGATTTTTGTGTTGACTTCTTTGGGAAGAACAGCCTCACTCATTCATTCATATATTTTTCTAAAAGTGTAAGTCAGATAATATAGCTTCTCTCTATAGAACTATCAATGCCTTCCTACAGCACCTATAATAACTTCAAACAATGATGGATTACAACGCTTTACAAGGCATAAAGTATGAAGTCTATGTCCTCCTTACTCAGACCCTATCTGAATTCCTTTCATGCTTCAACCCCACTAGCTGTTTCCTGTTCTTGGAAGTACACCCACCGACTTTGTTGCTGCTAATGGCTTCCTTGAATGTTTGTCCACAGGTCGCTGACACCTGGCTTCTCCTCACTGTTAAAGTGTCAATCAAATGTCAACTCTTTGGAGAGGCCTTCCTTTCTTGGCCCCCAACTCTAGCCTTAGAGCTGTTCTCTATCTCAGTGCCCTGTTTTATTTTCCTCAAAAAACTTAGAGATACACGAAATGATCTTATTTGCTTATTTTTTAAAAAGTTCTTTGTCTATCTACTCTCACTAGAATCCAAGCTCCATAAAGACAGGGTCTTTCAATATTTTCCATTTATTATATCTATCAAGAGCAAGACACTTGGTGTATTAGTTTCTATTCTAAGTACACTGTAAAGGTCTAGAGGTTCTTTATGGAAGAAATGATTGGGTACATTCACCTCTTCATAAAACATTTACTGAGTATTTCTATGACTCGAATATTTTCTAAATTAGGACATCAAACATCTTTGCTTTTAGAGATCCTGTGAATCATTTAATTCTCTACCAGCTTCTTTTCCCGATTTTTAGAGTTGAACATGGAAAGCCACTACAAGAATGCATATTTGATGAAGTAAGGAATTCTGCACCAAGTTTTATGAACTTTTTGCTCCCATTTTGAACTGTGCTATGACCGTCTCCTACTAAGCTTTGCCAAGCATAAGGGTTAGGGGTTCTTTGCTTTCCTAAAGTGAAAACCACTCTTACTTGACCATTCAATTCCAAATCATTATTATTTTTTATTATTTCAATTGGGAGGCTCATAAATTGCTGTGATGCTGTATTCATTACAGAGAGCAGATAAGAACAGGGCTAAAATAGAACAGGGCCACATACGAGATACTGAAGCAACAAAATAATCACTGAGTCTATATAAATGAAAATTAAGCCATAGGCCCAATATTAATAGGACAAAGGAAATGTAAAACATTACCCACACAGAGACACACACTCTCTCTCAATTTAGTTTAATACAGAAAACTCTGTATTCTATCTTGGGCTCCTGGATTCACACGCAGCATAGAACTAAATGGCAGATTCGACTAGATGACAATTTTAATTACTTTTTCTTGAATTAAAATAACTTCTGGGAACACATAGAGTCTTACTCTAGGAAAAGATTCAGAAAGAGAAGTGAAACCAGAATAAGGAAGTAAAGGGAGAAGGCTGATCAATACATTATAGTCATATATTTTCTGGTCTGCTTCCACATAGCTAATGTTTTCAAAATGACCTGTGAAATTTGTCAGTGTTACGACTAGGCATTATTAGTTCAGCAATTAACGAGTCTCCAATTCATATGTAAAGATATTATAGAGATAATGTTTTTGAGACTTCAGTAAAAAAAAAGGCATAGCTTTTTGAGGTACATTTCATAGGCAAATTTTCAGATGAACCCATGATCAAAATTTATAGTCAGATTCAAATAGATATAACTTGAAAGCTAATATGTCACTAGGATCTGTAACAAAATTATTTATCATCAAATATTCCTTTTATGCTTTTTTTAGAAAGTGCTGTTCACAATGTCATTTAATTAATACTATTTTCCAGCTCACTTCTATATTCTTCCTACTGCACAAAAATGTGTTTTCTAAGGAATTGGAATTTTGGGGGAAGCATTGGATCAGAATTTTATCTTGATCTGTGTAAGGGACAAAGCTCCTTTGTGCACAACTTTTAACAAGAAAATTTCATAGCATAATCACTAAATTTAAATTACTTCCCTTCAAATAGTACAGTGGTATATAAATATGAAATTGAGAGATAATATAAAAACTTACACTAGCTATCAATTTTCTACTTCCTTTAGTGTTAACAAGTTTAATGGATTTCAAAATAGCCCTATGGTTTCTATTTCTCTGCAAATATATAAACAGAAAAATGGCTTAAGAGCAATAAATTAAGAAATGGGAAGCAGGCACACTGAACGACTCACTCAGAGGACAGTAAATACTTAGAAAGCACAACACTTTTTCTATTAAGACCTTACATAGCCTAACCAACTTATTCAATGACAAGCATCTGTCAAAATGATACAATGGCATAAGATTCAATTTAAGAAACTTAGTATATTAACCCTAAATACATTAGTACTCCCCCCCCAAAAAAAAACCAATCATAGGACATTTTACTTGTATATTGCTAAATTATAACTTCTATCAATTTTATGAATCCAACACTCTCCCCCAGAATAGAAGCCTTGGATTTCCATGTCAAAAGAGAAGCCTCTCGTCAGATTTCTAATAAGTGATTCAGTCTATATGTGGGATCATAATGAGAATTCTAAACCTCTATAAAACAGACTTGCAAAAAGTGAACAGTAACCAAAATGTATATGATCTGTTTCCTCCCTATACCCCTCAGGAGTATGTTTATGGCATCACTGCAGGTGGAGGAGAATATATTTCCTCCAAATTAAAAGATCACTTCACACCTGTCTACTGTGGAGTTGTGAACACACAAAATGCTCTGTGCTATTTCACAAAGTATGCTCTTGTGCAAGTTCACCCTGAAGACTATTTTCACTTTAGCATGCGGATTCCGATCCCCCCCCCTTTTTTTTTCTTTTTGGCTTCCTGATGTGAATTTTCTTTTATCCTTTCACCACACAGCAAGACAAAGCCTTGGAAAGACAGCCTTGAAATAGAATTACACAACTTTTGCAAGTGGAAACACTGGTGCCAAAGAACTGGAATTGTTTAGTGCAGAGAAAAACGCTGTGCTGAACCAGAGCGTAGGCAGCATTCAAAGGTTAGGCTGCAGCGACACATCGCACAGGATCACTTCACTTGGCACCCGGGGGGAAAAACAGTCCCCTCTGCTGCCAAAGCTACCCGGGTGGCCCCTGTCTGGCTACTTTTATACCAGCCAAATAATTTTATCCTTTTAGACCTTTGTCCTTTGTTGATGTGAGTATGTTATTATGGCCCTTATTTTTTCCCAATTCAAAATAAATAGGATATATATGTATGGTAGGCAAGAGTGAATCCTCCATGAGGACAACTTCACCCAGAGAAAGAGAATGGATTGTGATTGCCATGCAAAAGTCACGTGTTTACAAACCCAAACCAAAACCACAATGATAGCAAACGCACATTGTATGGGGCTCAGAGACCCTGCCAAACTCAATACGCTGGTTTTGCTCTGGTTTCCCTCTTTTTCTCTCTTTAGGATTTTCTGTCAATAGGAGGGGCATTAGTTTGAAAAAGCTAGAACTGGAAATGAAGAGAAAGGGAAGAGAAAAACAGTCACAGCAAGCTGTAAAGTTATGTTTTCTTCTGTTTCCATTGAGGTTCTGAGTCCCTGAATGTGAGTTTGTGAAATCTCAGAATCTGCGTCAGGAAATCCTGCTGCCTCTTCCACTTGATGCCCAAGGCAGTGACCCTCCTTGTATCATTTTCATCATGTTTCTGCTCTAAAAACTCTAAGAATATTTGCTACGAGCAGATATTTTAATTTCCTGAGTAATATGGCAAAGGATAGTACAGTAATAAAGAAATGCAAAATTGATAGCTAATATATATATATAAAGGGGAAGGTTTGTTGATATTGCAAATAAGATTGATGGCTGATGTAGGGGGTCAAATAGAAGTTCTCATTACTTTTTTTTTTTTCCCCAAATGACTTACATAGCAGGATATGTGCAGCTGCAATGTTCAGAGAATAGTTCACACCCCAGTCTCCAAGGTCCTATATCTCAATATTCATACTTCTGACAAAAGATCAGTCATTTCAACTGAATTTATGTCTCCAGAGATGTGGATACATCCACAGAAGCATGGTAATAATAAGGTCATGGATATGTACACAATTAGAAGGGAAGATGATTTCCCAGCAGAAATCATCTACTTAATTTACTCAGTGCTCTTACTGTGCCATATATTCTTAGAAGATAGCACTTGCATTTTAATATATCTGGTTTTAATGAAAATGCTCAGTGTATTCAGAAGAATAGAATGAGAGGGAAGCCAACTGGTCTTATGTTGGATCTCTGGAGTTGTCTAGAGGGTTGTGTGTGGTGTGCATGTACATATCCACATAAACATATTGACACTTAAGTGTAATGGATGTGTCTGGAACTTTTCAGTAAACAAACAAAAGTTTCTACCAAAATTCCCCTTTACCTGTTAGAAACAGAAGCAAAAGATGTTTTAATTTGAGGAGGATACCAAAACTCAGGAGTGAATTATCCTTATTGTTTTTTATTTTTTATTTTTGGTACCAGGGATTGAACTCAGAGGCACCTGACCACTGAGCCACATCCCCAGCCCGATATTGTATTTTATTTAGAAATAGGGTCTCACTGAGTTTCTTAGTGCCTTGCTGTTGTTGAGGCTGGCTTTGAATTCGAAATCCTCCTGCCTCAGCCTCCTGAGCCACTGGGATTACAGGTGGGTGCCATCGTGCCCAGCTTGTATTAATTTTTAAAGGAGGGATCTAGCAGTGAGACTAGTTTGGCAAATCTTGGAAGGATCAAAATTACACAGCACAGAGAAAGTATAATAACAAATGTACTATAAAATAATGGCATGAATGGCAGATTCTGTTCTTCCTGTTTAAAATGTCAGTACAGGTGTGTTTAGCTACTTTTCCACGTGGGGGTTAAAGTATTGGGTCAAATAAAACCACTTTGAGCTTGGCTGCTGTTCCTTTCTAATTTGTCCTGACCTTCCCTTTCTTGGCAGCCTTAAGGCTCCAAAGTCTTGTGTTTTGGCTATGAGAACTGAACATATGGTTTGTTTGAAGATTCTTGTTCAACACTTGTCCATGAACCTGACAGTAGGAAGTGCTAAAGAGCAGAAACAGGAGTCACAGGCGGATATGCACTGCACCTCAAGTCCAAAGTAAATGCACTCGCGACACGCTTGCTCTTCAAGTGGAGGAAAATCAAACACATGGGCAAATATTACCATTTCCCCCTTACGATTCTGCAACATTCTTTCATTTAGCTATTCCATTGCTAATTCTATTATTCAGATACAATGTTTTCCCTTAGAGAAAAATGCAAATTTGAAAAAGACAACAAACAGAAGTTTAAATCAAGGATTTATGGATTGGATGGAATCTAGAAAAAATGTTTTGGTTTTGTTACAGATCTTATGCAACTTGCTATCTGCCTTCACTGTCACCTGGAAGGAATTTTTTATCAACAACCAATGCTTCTTTCAAAAACTTGGGAGATATAATTGTGTTATATTGCTGAATAGTTTCTGCATAATAACTAATAATAGTGGGTGGATAATCTCCGTAAACCACTGAGAAATCATAACTAAAGCACACACATGTAAAAAAAAAAAAGCATCCAAGATGCCATATCAATCCATATCCACCAATCAACAGCTCTGGTTTTAACTTGGACACTTCATTTCAATGCTATAAAATTCCTATTTTCATCTGTCCTCTCTGATTATTGAATTTTAAATGACTGGCTACATATGAATATGCCAAAAAATTCCACAATCATAATTGTACATTTACAATTATGATGCCCTAATTAAAGTAACAATAATAATAAAGAAAGGAAATCATGGAGTAGAACAAGTAGATGGGAGAAAGAGGAAGGGACAGAAAGGGAAGCTCCTGGGGAATTAGGGCAATCAGACTGTTTTGTGCATGTACAAATATGCCATCATGAATCCCACTATTATGTATAATTATAATGCAGCAATAAAAAAATTGAGTTTTGCTTGGTTGGGGCCATTCCTTTGGAGTAAGGTTCTTCCAACAGAATAAAACTGAGAGTTAACCATGAGGAAACACCATCTAATGTCATCATTACTCCAAAAGTCACTTATTCATGCTGCAAATCTCACAGACTGTGTTCCTTCTTCTCCAGAACAACTATCTCAACTTTCTCCTACTTCATCCTTTAGCTGATCAGTTTATGAAACACTTCCCAGGGTAAATACTATATCCATTCATTCATCCTTCCATTCAGAAGACATTTTTAGTGCCTTTGATAATCAGCATATAAGGGCATATTTATTCTTTTCAATCCTAATACTCCCATGAAGTACATATTCTTATTCCTGTTTTATAGATGAGGAACTGGGACTTAAATAAATTCATTTGCTGGACCAAGTCTGTGTAGGGTCAGAATTTGTGCTTGCTTTTTCACATCAAACAGGAGAAAGTAGTAGATGACTAATTAAAGTTATTTTTTTAAATTTTTTTTTTATTTGGGGCTAATATGATCCTCCACTGGCTTAAAACATAGAAAGCTTCATCTCTTCCAGGTCTATCCCACTCAGTGAAAGAAATGAATACATATGGACACTTACCAGATTTGTTCTTTAAAAAAAATGGCAGTTATATAAATATTTGCCATTCCATTAACCTATGTAGTCCAGAGACCGTAATGAACACAAAATGAATTTTTTGCTTTTGGGGCTATTTGTCTTGCCATTAGCTAAAACATTATGACAAATTTCATCTGTAACATAAACAAACCTGAGCTATTTTAAAGTCCAGAAAATGTGAGGCTAGCACTGAATCTCAGTGGAAGACTAATTTTTACAACTGTCTGCCTCTCTGCATCAGGACTCCTCGGCTTGGTTTCCATTTCGAAATCATGAAATGAACGTACCGTCCTGACCTCCAGCCATCTGTTGGCAGCTGAGAGGAATAAGTAGGCAATGTTGTTTGTGTCCGTCAGTTCCAGCATACGTTGCTTAAATCTGGTTTCATGCCTGCAGAAAACAAAAATATTATGATGTTAGCCACACAACAGAAGAAGTAATAAAAAACAGTCACACTTACTACTACACAATTTATTCAAAACAGTGACAAACTGAGAAGATAGGATGACTGGTACATGGACTCCCACTTCAAAATAAAGACCAGCTGCTGCTGCTCTGCTGCATTGTTAGTAGAGGCATGGAGGCCAAGTGTTTGCTTGGTTTTCACACCCCTCTAGGAAAGGAGTCTTTCTGATGACAAATTTTCATTAAACATCATTTCATGAATTTCCACCTAATTATTGTGGCCAGGAAAATAAGGCATGACCTATGTGGTAAGGGCCCTATGAAAACCTTAATAAATGGTAGAGAAATGCAATATCTTCTGCCTTCTTTTATGGCATTTATTTTAATTTTCCAAATGACATGACTAGGGTTGAGTGAATGGTGTTGGGTGAGAACCAGGGAAGACAGGAAGCTATGCATTTGGAACAGGTGAATAGATAGTTTCAAAAATTTTGTTTTGCCTGGTGTTACTGGGAACTAAAGAAGGAAAGTGGAGTGGCAAGAAGTAGAGGAGGAGGGGTTTTGCAGATGGCAAATATACCTGTTAGTTAAGATATGTGCACCCCAAATTTCTAAACTATTTGTAAGGAAGGTCACTGCATAAAAGGAGATCTTGGTCTCTGGTACTTAAGGGGTTCTATAATCCATATAGTTTGGATATTTATCCCGGACAAGTTAAGTTTGTTCATTCTTAGTGCTCTACAAAATCACCAAATCTTGTACAAAAAAAAAAAAAGTAATTAATATTTTTCTGGTGGTGTTAGGGGATTGATCCTAAGCATGCATCTTCATGCATACTGGGTGAGCACTCTACTACTGAGTTTTATCCCCAGCCTCTGTGCTTATAAAATAGACCAATTTATAAGTGTTTTATAAATGAAACATGTTTTATAAGTGAAACTGCTAATAAAAAAAACTATCTCTTTGAACATGTGAGCTACTGTCTCACAGAACCTCCTATCTAAATTCCCAAAGTGTCTTTTCATTTTGCAGTTATTTCCCCTGAATAACAGAAACAATGAAAGCTGGAAAATCACTGGATTGAAACTAGGGGAAAGGCCAAATCAAATGCAGTTTATTCACTCTGTGGGCATGGCTTGTCTTATATAACCCTTTTGCAAAGAAGAGCCAAATTTCGTCTGTCAGCCTGATACTGATTCCTGTTTGGTAAAAGAGGGCCCCAATTCCCCCAAAAATCTTCAAATAAAATAGCACAACTTTTTAGTAAACCATCAGTTGTATCAAAGAACAAAGAAATCCCAAGTGGGGTGTTCAAATGGCCCACAATCCACATAGACCCATATAAAGTAGATACTTGATACTTCTCCAGTCAATCTGATCATTCTAATATGCCAAATCAAATAGATAATTTAATCAGACAGCAACATCTGATCTACAAATACCAAGGATTTGGCAATCAGAGCCAAATAATTGCTTCACTTTTAGTTATGTAGCCTTGACCTTGACAACAGGCACACTGCTGAGCTGAATGGCAACACAGAGTGTGGGCTAAAGCACTGTGAAGGACACATTGACCCTCCAGGTGATCCTCTGAGGAATGAAAATACTGAATAACTATTGGACACAGGGTCTTATAAGATAATAGGGTTTATTGAGATAGTGGATGTGAACTATAAGTATTCATGGGAACGTCATTCTTTCTGTAGTTGCTAGGTATAATATTAGGCACATGTTCATCTGTCCATTCAGAAACATTTAGCAAGCAGGACTCAAAGCGAGACTTTATGCTAAACTTTGGGCACATGCATATCAACAAGATGCACCCCTCCTTCCTACAGGAGTCCCCAGTCTAATGAAGGAGGAAAAGAGTATTCAACAGTAAATATGGTGAAGCACAGTATCTAGTTATAATGAAGAAAATGCCACATGAAGAAAATGACACAAAGGAAACAGATGATCCCTACAGAGCAGAATACTCAAGAGGTGGGGAATGGGGAGTGGGAGGGGACAGAGTGTCTGGCCAGGTTTCCCAAAGGACTGGAAAGATGACCTGCGCGTGGTTTTAGGGAGTGAGCTAAATGTTTTCAGGTGAACCAAGCATTCTAAGGAGCAGGAACAACAAGAGCAAAAGCATAGAAACGAGAAAGCCCAGCATGTTCAGGAGGCTGGACACAGGTTTTTTGCCCTGCTGGACTTGGGGTGAGAGAGTCCAGAGACCAGGCCAGCTGGAGCATGGCCTGAGAACTGCGTTTGAGAGGAACATGGAACACTTGATTCTGACACAGGGTTTTGTCGGGGAATCTTCCTCCTCTTCCCTCATTTGTGGGGTACTGTTTCAGACGTGCTCTTAGAGAGTTTGTAAATGGAGCTGGCAAGAGTCTGAGGCCGCAGTGAGCGGGGAGGGGTGAAATGCAGCGAACATTCTTTCTGTGTGTTTCTATTTGGCAAGAAACCTTCTGTTTTCCTAATGGAAACTTTGACACACTCAGTCTGTATCTTTTCATCCGCATCCAGCTCATCTTCTGAACATTCTTAGACCTTTATTCTGTCAGACCAAAAAAAAAAAAAAAAGAAAAAGAAGAAGGAGGAGGAGGAAGAGGAAGAAAGAAAGAAAGAAAAGAAAGGAAAGGTCACTGAAATCTCAGTCAATTTAACTGTGTTACTTTTGCGGTGAACTACTTGAGGGAGTTCATTGCTCTGAGTGAGGACACCATGAACCCTGAACTCAGAGAGGGAAAAGCAACCTAATCAGTAACTACCAACTTTCCAAAAGAGCGCAAGACTCTAGGGACTCCAAGTAGCTCAAAAGAAAGGAACAGATGGATGGAAAAGAACATGTTTGGTTCTTGACCACAAATACCAAACATACAGATTCTAGAATTTCATCCATGGCAGCAGGACCATCCCCACATTTTCAAGATTTGTCCTAGTTTTTTTTAAAAAAGCTGATATTTATGATATTTTATAATTAACATTTTTTGTTTGTTTGTTTGTTTGTTTTGTACTAGAGATTGAACCCAGGGACACTTAACCACTGCGCAACTTCCCCAGTCCTTTTTATTTTAACACAGGGTCTTTCTAATTTGCTGAAGCCTCACTTAGTTATGTAGGCTGGCTTTGAGTTTGTGATCTACCTCAGCCTCCTGAGTTGCTGGGATTATAGGTATGAAAGACCACACCTGGCCTTTTATATATATTCTCTTCATTTTCTTTTTTTAATTTTTATTTATATATGACAGCAGAATCCATTTTTTATATATTATGCAAGCATGAAATATACATTATTCTAGTAGTTAGGATGCCATTCTTATGGGTATACAGAATAGTGAAGTTCATTTTATTGTTTTCATAAACCTATATGGGAAAATTATGTTTATATTCACTTTTAAAGAGTTCTGGAAGATCTAAATCTGGTTCTAGACATAGGCAGTATACTCCCAGTTAGAAGTTGAATTCTTTATTTCCTCCAACTATAATGCAAGCAATGGAAGGTTCACATGTAATATGTAGTTCTTCTTATGGCTACCTAGAATTTTCCAAAATTTAAAGTTACCAATGCTAGTGCTAAATTCTGTTTGTATACTTCGTAAAGAAGGTAAATGAAAATGTGAACCTTGACTCTTGGTCAATATCCTCTTTCATTCTAAATCTTCCTCAATCCCTTCAAATGCTCTACCTACTTCTTGTCCCCAGCACTCTCAGAAGATGACCTTACCTTGTCCTTCAGGGAGAAAATAAAGACTGTTATATGTTGAATTCATCAACTTTCTGCTGCTTCATGGTGATGGTTTAGATATAAGCCTTTCCTTACCACCCTCTGCAAAAAGCTCCTGTGTTAACGAAGAAATGTTCAGAACTGAAATGATCAGAATATGAGAGCTATAACCTAATCAGTGGATTAATCTATTTGATGGATTAATAACTTCAAAGGACTACTGCACTATCTGAACTGTGGACAGATAGGGTGTGGTTGGAGGAAGTAGGTCACTGGGGTCGTGCCTTTGGGATTTATATTTTGTTTCTGGTGCCTGGTTTGCTTTCCCTCTCTCCCCTCCCCAACCTCCTTCTTCTTTCCCTCTCTCCCTGTCCCCTCTCTCCTCTCCTTCTCCCCGCCCTTCCTGCCTACCAGAAGCTGAGCAGCCTTCCTTCACCTCCACTTGGGCCCAGAGCACTAGAGTCAGGTGACCATGGACTGAATGGTTGGCTACATTGTTCTTGTGAGGACTTTTGGTCACAGCAACAGAAAGCTGACCAATACATCCACCCAGAGGCTTGTCTGAATTTGTACACATCCTTTTCTTACCTTCATAGAAGAGCTCTGTAAAAAATCCTCTTCAAGTGGAGTTCTTCTCTCTATTTGGTCCCTTGAACCCATCCCTGCCACCTGCCATGAATATCTGCTCCACTAATCATTCCATTTTTGCCTATATCTCCACTTCTTCCCTTTAGCCTTTAAAAATGTCTAGCTTTTTACCCCCTTGAAAAATAAAAAATAGAGAGTCAAGAACTCCTTCCTTTAATTATTCAGCCCCCTCCACTCCTTCCTACCTCCGTGAAGCTCACTAAAGAGTAACTTTTCCTGGCTGCCTTCAGGTCCTGATTTGCAGCTAATTCTTCAGCCCCTTGAATTCTGACTTCAATCCTCTTCCACTTTACCATTTTCTGTTCTTGGTAAAGTTACCATCAGCTTCAAGGTTTCCATATACAAAGGAAACTTTTTATTTTATTAACTTTTCATTTCCGTTTTTATTCCCCTTGACCATTTAATTTCTTCTTAAAATGCTCAGTTGTTTCACTTCAATGACAGCATTATCCTTGTTCACAGCTAGAACTTTCAATATGTCTCTTCATTCTCATTGAAATTGCAGGTGATTTTACTCTACCCTGATTCTTTGACTACCACTCAGATAGCTGGTTTTCTTAACTGGTCTGGGTTCTTCTTGCTTGGTGGGAGATGAGGTCTATTCTCCTAAGTGGCAACATCTGACCCTATTACATCACTGTAATCTTGAGAAGAGGATAAGGCTAAATCCAAGTCCATTATAATAAGTGGTCTGTGGTACATTTGGATCAGACAGTGACAGTCGGACCTCTGGATCTGTCCTTGACCTGGGTAGAGTTATTAAAGTAACTGTTTGCTTATTAATAGGTGTCATTTGAATGAAGGGCTATCAAAAATTTTAGCTGACTACTTAAGTAGTCATCTTTGGAAGCCATCAGATAGACAAAGTGCTTGTGTGCTAGCCTTTTTCTATCTGCATATATACCCAATGTGAGAGGAGGTCTCCGTAAATTCAGTCTTCACTGCCATTAACTTCTCACTCATTGGGAAGTTGATTTTTACAGGAATCAACTTGCTCAACCAGCACTCACAAGATCAAGGTGGCTTCTTCCATACAGTAGAAGGTGTTGGTTTGGATTTGGTAGCATCAGGCTGGCTTATGTGGAGGTTGGCCAGAATCAGGAAGCACACAAAGAGATTGTTAGTTAGACTATATGGGCTGATGTGAAAGTTAAGCCAGGCTGACTTCATTCGACTCAGACATCTCACCCTGCATGGGGAATTGGACCCCTTCCTATAAGAGCCCACTTTTGCACAGAAGCTGACACCCTCACCCACTTGCACCCTGACCACAATGTCTTTAAACTTTGGAGCTGTTCTGAGTAGATATAAGAAGTGTAAACTCTCAGAATGTTCTGTTAGTTGGTACTTTCCACTTTTATGACTTTTATGGCTCTCCTCTTTGTGTGTGTGTGTGTGTGTGTGTTTTTTTCTGTTTAAATGGACCCTCCACCTGCATTCAGGGTCTTGGGCTGCAGAACTGTCTGCTTTCTGCTCCTTTGGCCCTGGTCAGAATAAATCCTTTGTTTTTTCATCGAAAAGACCCAGAGGTTTTTTATTTTTTTGGAATTTTAGAATATCACCATAACAAGAAGACTAAAGCCATGACAAGGAGCCATACTAGCACTTCCCCTTCCTGAGAAAGTTGACTGGAGAAAGAGTTCAAGCAGGCTGCCCAAGTGCAGAGGGAAGGAAGCATATGAGATAAAGAGTCATGAAGATATTTGCAGGAAGTAATACACGGAGTAATGGAACGTCCTTTAATCATTCATGAAACCTTTGAACACCTGCAAGGTTTCTGACTCTTCGTATTCTGAAGGTAAAAATAAAAACCACATTACCAGCTCCCCAGGAACTCCCAATCTTGTGGAGCAATTCAAACACAGAAACAGATGCATCTGGGGCTGGGGATGTGGCTCAAGCCGTAGCGCGCTCGCCTGGCATGCGTGCGGCCCGGGTTCAATTCTCAGCACCACATACAAACAAAGATGTTGTGTCCGCCGAAAACTAAAAAATAAATATTAAAAAATCCTCTCTCTTTCTCTCTCTCTCTCTCTCTCTCTCTCTCTCTCTCTCTCTCTCTCTCTCTCTCTCTCTCTCATCTCATCTCTTAAAAAAAAAAGAAAGAAACAGATGCAACTGACACAGTGCAATAAGTTTAGGATACTAGTTAGCATAGAGACAGTAAGAAGGCATGGAATCTAGATTCTGACAGTCAGGGAAGGCTTCCCAGAGCAGATGATAAACACTGATATTTCAGCAATGAGAAAAGCACTAATTCATCAAAATAAAAGAAGGTTAGGAGGGACAGGCAGTAGAGCCTGCCCTACCCAGAAGCATGAACCTAGGAGGATCAGCTTTGCTTGGCAGATAGTATTTTCCATGATACCTTTGTTGTCCATTTGCTAGTAATATAAGAATTTACCCTAGCATTTCTTTGTCTACATGCTGTCCCGCGTAAGAAGAAAGCCAAAATGTTAAATAATATCTGTTAAGAGGATAACACTTAAACCTTCAATATTTTTCTCTGAGATATTTCTTTAAACACCAGACCTATATACACAAGTAACTCCCCAAATCTTAAGTGGGTATCACATCAGCAGCTTGATCTACTCATAACCAGAGTTACCATCGCCTTCCCCAATCCTCCACAATGTCTTCAATTTCCTAGCTTGGAAAACTGTACTCACTTATGGGGATCAGAGACCTGGAAGGAATCATCTTCAATTTCTCCTTCATTCAATTTCTCCTTCGTTCTCCTTACGTTCAAACCCTAACTCTCACTGGTCCCACGTCCTGCTAAAATATATACTCTCTGTCCAGATGCTTAGTACCTGATCTAGCTAGCTCTGGCCACATCATCTGGATCACTTGCAACAGCATCTTATTACCTTTAGCCTCAACCATCCTCATTCATTTTTCACAGTACAGCAGTGTAATTCTGATGAACATAACTCTGGTTGTGTCATTGTTCTCTTAAGAATCCTTCAGTGGCTCCCCAACATGAAAAGAACGAGCTCTAAGCTCCTTAAGGTACTGATCCAATATGCTTCATGTACACTCTGCATTCATGCTTTCAAGCTTCATGGTGAAAGTCACCCTCTCCATTCCTACTACATGGGATTCTTTCAATTTCTACATAAAATAGAAATCTTTATGCTTTTGTATTATTCCACTCTGAATATTCTATCCCTTTTAAATCCAGGTTAGCTATTTATTAAAAGACTTACTCTTTAATAATTATCTCCCAGCTAAATGCTACCCTGTTCTCTAATGCAATGGATTCTTGTGGTATACATATTAGACTATGTAACTTATTATCCTGCTATGTTTTTTTTTAAACCATTTCTCCTTCTAGACTGTGAGCTCCTTAGGATAGAGCTCGTGTCTCCTAGTATTCAACATAAATTTCTTAAGTACTTACTAAATGCTGGACATTTTTCCCAGGTATTGATGATATAACAATGGGGGAAAAAAAGGCCTGCTCTTAGCTTACATTCTGGTTGGAAAGGATGGATAATAAGCATGTAAACAATTTAAAAATAGAGAAAGTTGAATTTTTAAATACCCTGGTAACACTAAAAGAGAAATAAACAGGATAACATGGCAGGTAAGTAGGTGGCAAAAGTGTTCCCTTTAGCTGGGATAGAAATGAAAAGGCCATATATTTTCAGTCTTTATCTACAAGAATAGTACATGGCGGGAGTACTGGGGTACTGATACTGGCCAAAATATATTGTTATATTGTGTACATGCATGAATATGTGACAACAAATCCTACCATTATGTACAACTATAATGTACCAATAAAAAATGTGGAGAAGAAAAGAAAACTTTGGTGCAACAGTATTACTTTTGTTAGAATTATTGTTACTGTTATCATCCATACATTTATTTTAACTTGCTGATTGGGAGCTTCTTCAACAGTTAGTCCAAGTACCCTAATGAGCAAGACTGATTTCCCCATTTCACAGCTGAGTAAATAAAGGTCAGAGAATTTTGAAAACCTCATCTAAGATGCAAAGCTAACACCTTTCTAATATGTTGCTTCATCCTTTCATTACTCTTATTAAAATTTCAGAGGGTTAAGCTCTAATTCTGATCATTTATGGCCACATTATTCTTACTCCTGGTTTAGTTCACTATTTGGCACATAGTAGGCATTCAAAAAATGTCAGCTATTATGTATTATTTGAAGATAAGCATCTGTTGCTGATGCAATCTCCTAATCAGCAACATGAGCACATTTACTCACCTAAAGGCCCGGATGGTAGTGAGTCCTTCAGCCGTTTCTGAGAAGTGGCAGAGCAGAGGGAGCTGGGTACTGTCATCAAGTTCCTGGAGGTCCCTAGGAAGGACAAGCCACAGTAAGCTCCACATGCCTCCCAGCTCAAGGGCCACATGCTTCTAAATCAAGGTCACTTTGTCATTATATTTATTTCCCCTAGCTCTCAATTAACAAAAAACTTCAATAGCTTGCACATTAGAGAGGAAGAAAAAGATGGATACATTATGGGAACACGTTTTGAACAAAACTCTCAGCTTTGTGTCAGAGCTGATGTAAACTGCTGTAGGAACCCAGGGAAAGAGCAGTTAATTCATACCTCGGAAATGAATGGTATGTTTTTTTAGGCAGGTGAAATTTAGGTCAAACCTTAAGAATGATGAAGGCTTCAACGGAGTAGACAAGTGAATATTAGCTAAAGGAATAACAAGAGCAAGCACAGAAGTCTGGAAAACCTGGCCAGTTCACTCTGGCTGAGGCCCAGAAGGCCTTGGGGCTCTGTAGTGGGAAATGGCCTTGTAAGCCTAGACTAGACTGCAGAGAATTCTTAAGAGTTTGGGAAGAAAAAAAAAAAAAACACTGAAGACTACAGATGAAATGACCAGAGCTGTGCCTGATCAACATTACTTGGAGACAGTGTGAGGGATAAAAGAAAATGAGTGAGTGGGGAACAGTTAGGATAGTCTGCATAAGAGATATTTAAAATTCTAAATTAATATGATGCCAATTAGATTTAAAATAAAGGATGGGGTCAAGACTGTGAGATAGCCTACTGGAATAACTTTATATTCTGTAATGAATATAAAGTTCGTTGTATCAAGGAAGAGTCAAATATAATATGACTAATTAGTTGTATCAAGGTAAAGAAAAGTCAAATATAATATGGCATGGCTATCTGTGGTTTAGCATAATCAAAATATGACAGTGCTATTTACCAGGGTGGGGGTGACAAAGAGAAAGGGATTTGGTGAAAATAGATCAAGAGTTTGGCTTTGGACACAATGTCTTCATGCAGCTTCCATTGATTTCCCCAAGGAACTATATGTATAGACATATACATTTATAAATGTGTGGTATTGTGCGTGTGTGTGTGTGTGTGTGTGTGTGTGTGTGTGTGTATGTGAAAAGTATTCACTGAATGGAATTGCTAGAATCTGACGTTTTTCAAAAAGATGCATACTTTTGAGAACTTTTCTTTAAACCTTATGAGTTAGCATTTCTAGAAGACAGGCCAAGAATTATACCACTTTTTCAAAGCACTTATTTCAAAGATTTTATTTCCATCTTTTTTCTGCCCTTCTTTGGGTCATCAGGGTTGAGAGAACATTAGAGAAGCAGCATCAACATTCACCTGCCAGAGTCAACTGAACTGATAAACACTGTTACACAATGTTCAACAATTAGGCCGTTCTTGGCTCCTCTGTAATCCCACAAACAAATGCAAAGTCTTTGCAATTTGGTATTTCTAAAATGGACTTGTTTAGTTCAGAAATTACAGGTGGAGGAGGGAAAGACAGAGGGAAGGAGAACAAAAACTGAAGATTTGTAAATAGTTTCTTATTTTTAAACATGAAACCAAATAACTATTGGTACATCTCACACAAGCAATGAAATGGTCACTACATTGAGGTTAGTGGAGAAGAAACAAAAGGACAGAGTAAACTTTGTTTACAGGAATGTGTTTTGTGGAATCAAAAAGGTGAGGATACAGCTTGATCTTGTATTCTTATAAGAAGAAAAAACTAACTACCTGTTTGTTAGACCTTTGAATTAGGTATTCAAAACCCCAAGGCATTTCCAGTAGCTAGCTCCCCACTTACATTCTCTTTCATGTATACAAAAATAGTCTGTTAAGTTCCCTGGACTTTTTCAAATGGGTAAGTCCTCCAGCAACATTAGAAGAAATAAAAGGGAATTTGATCAGTCTGAATTGCTACCAAAAAAAAAAAAAAAGAAAGAAAAATCTATTTGCTATGAACACGCGATACTTAAAAGACCCTTGCTCATAGGCAAGGGGAAGACACGATTATATTTTTTAAATTATGAAGTGTTATATATGTTCAGAAGTTCCCATCTGGAACCCCTCATTTTTCTACTTACCTTCCCTGCTCTCCTTCATCTTCTGGGCACTCAAGTCATATTAAATATTTTTGATTTTCTATATGAACTCAATATCTGCCTTTTATTCTCTCACTAAATCCACATATTAGGATTACTTTGTATAGGTTCTATATTAAGGGGAGACTAAGTTTCTTTGAGAACAGGTTTTTCTCATGTTGGTTGCCTCACCTAGATCTGCACAGATATTTGCAACATAGTAAGTGCTTAATAAGTGTTTGTTGAAATAAAGTGATTCTTGCAATAACAGATTTTACTATACTATTTATAGCATATCTTCATGGTGAAACTTCAAATTTTAAAACCACTGATATTATATTTCATTAACTATTCATGATCTTGGCAAATGACAATTTCTATATTAATTGAAGAATTTTAAATTCGTGGCTACCCTTCATTTATTTAGCTGGATATTCAAATGTGGGTAAAATGATCCAACCCCAAATTTTCCAACCTCTTAAAGTTATAGCACTCTTGTCAGACATTCAAGATTATCTACATTTATAGTCAGGGCTGATTTATCACTTTGATTTTTTTTTTTACTTCTAATATTTCACACCATTACTTTAAAGTTTAAAAATTTTTAAATTTTTCTCCACTTTGGAATATAATGATATTAAATTACTTTCTTGAGGACTATGTTTGATTTAGTAAGTTTTCTGCCAATGTCATGTTCAGAAAAAGAACTAGTGGATGAAAAATTTAGCAGACTCGGAACTCAACAGATCAATACACATGTTAGTGTATATCTAGTGCTATGTATAAGGCTCAAACAAAAATTTGCAAGAACATTTATACTACATCTAAGAATAGGCATAAGCACATAAAAAAATTGGCTGCATTTCTAAATTCCATACCTTATCTTGAAAAAACACTGCAGCAAATGTAATTCACAGTCAATTAAATACACAGGCTTTTGAAAATGAGTAGAACACTTGTACTTACTTAGAGGCAACTCGGAAATATTTCTGGATGAAATAAAAGGCAACTCCAAGAGGCACAAGAGCAACAAGGAACACGGGAGTGGCATAGGAGATCATCCCAATGGCAGACAGGCAAAGCAGTGTTGAGCGAGTTAGAGATTCCAGAGTTGGAGGGATATGCTATTGAAAAGGTCATTTTAAAGAAAAATGTGTCTTAGTTCAAATGAAGCACTGATTACAATGCAACAAAAAATATTTATTTTATATTAATGGTAAGTTATAGAGTCAGTTACACAATAGTATACATTCATGTTCACTCTAAGCAATTCTTTACTCACTACCCATAGTTTAGTATAGCTATTTACCTATATATCTACATATCATTGATTAGTTATCTACATATTTATCTTGGTATTTTATGTAAAATGGCACTGTAGTATAAATTTTATTCATTCATGTGCTTGTTTTACTTTGCCCGACAAGATGGATTGTAAATCTTCCCAAGTAAGTGTATATAAATCTATTTCCTTTTAATGGATGTATAGTACTTTTAAAAGCTATTTAGGTATACTTCTGCTAGAAGACATTAAAATTAGTTTTCTTCAATTCCTTGCTTATATTCTTTGAGTGGCTTTGTTTGGGATTTTACATTTTAAATTTGTCTTTGATGCTTTTAGCTCTATAAAAGTTAATTTAAACAGTCAAATCTATTGGGTTTTATTGTTTCTGAATTTTATATCTTTCTCTTCCCCAGATTCTAAACTATTAATTTATATTTAATTTTATAATTTATGGCTTTATGTCACCATATTTATTCTATATGCATATGTTTTGTATCTTATGAATAGTTAATCATTACAATATACTTTATCAAAATAAGTCCTTTTTACTGATTCAAGATGCCACAATTATTCTATATTAAATTTCTATATATGCTAGTGGTTTTGATTTCTCCATTCTGTTCTTTTGGTCATCTTGTCTTCTGTAATCAATGGAGCATTTTAATTTTATTATAGTTTTTAGATATCTGACAAAGGAATATACACAGAATATAACATACACCGAATTTTAATGACTTCTGAAATTGCTGGATATCTTTTCTTCATATTAGGTGATTTCTAGTTCCTAGTTTTTGTTGTTACTATAAATGGAATCTATTTTTCACACAAATTATTAATTGGTATGTAGAGAAAGTTACCAATCTTCATACAATATGTCTCATCCAGATATTCTGCTGAACTTTCCAGTTGTTTTTCTTTTAATTTTGCTAATTATTTTGAATTTTCTAGGAAGCAATCTTATTACCTTTTAACTAGTGACTGTTCTGTCTCTTCTTTTCCAACATGTATGCCATGTATCCCTCAAAATGTCTCAGCATGCTTCTCGTCAGCTATATGCATCAAGCATTCTTTTTCTAAATCTAAGATAATCTGTGAGTTTCCAATGCTACTCTGGAATGTCAGAAAGGCCAGATCTGGATTTAATGAATTCCTCCCTCAATCATTCTAAGGATTCTGCTCTTGCAATGATTCTCTGTTGAATCTGACATCTTTAATTTCAAGACAAACTTCTTGAGACCTAAGGATCTTACACTAAACTATAATTCTTAGAATATTCCCTGAACTATCACACCATCTAAAGCCCCAAGAGCCAATCTAATAAAAGTAAAGAACATCTAAGATATTTTGGCATTCCACCTGTCATTTCTGGGAGATACTCTACATGGATATTAAACTTTTAAGAAATATTTTTTTATGAATAGCTATACAACATTAATCAAAATCATTCTTTTTATAATAAAAAACTTTAAATATTGGTTTATTCTTTGCTATGTTATATTAACACTGGTTTGTAAGTATCCTCTGCTACATGCACAAGTTAGTTTGAATTAAAGTTTTCCATTAAGATTTTATGCTACAAATCATTGTAAACAGGCTTTACATTTTAGCATTCTTTACTGTTAATAGTAATCATGCTTTATCTGAAAATGTAGTTCAGCTTACAGAGAAGCTTATTTTTGAACGTGGAAGTAACTCAGGCACTCACCTGGTCGATGATATTAGTATCAGCTGAAAATCGATTGAGAATCAGCCCCAGGGGAGTGGTATCAAAGAACCTAGGCAGTGAACAGATTGAAGAACATGATAATACTAAACTAACTGGAACCTGAGCAGTGTTAAGGGATGTCTAGAGTCGTGAAAATGCCATTGTCCTATGCATTTGCTCAGACTGAAGAAATTCTTTAAACTTTCACATTTCACTTAAAATTTAAAATGCGTATTTTATTATTTTGTTTGTAGGAGCAAAAAGACCTCACTTTACCTTATTGGTCCAAGAATTATCTTATTGAGAAGATTGTGGTGAAGATTTTTGGCAGCTGTGAGACCCATCCATTCTACAGTGAGAGATGTAACCAGGCAAAGGAAAATACCTGCTCCACAAAGTATGCTAAATCCAGCCACATAGTAGGTCTACAAGGCAACCAACATGAAACGTTCATAAGAAATCATCAACTTGTTTTTTCTTTTACTAGAAAACCAAATGTCAAAGTCAGACAAGATGGTTGGCATCTTGCACACTTTAATAGTTGAAGGAGAGCAGTTTTTGCAGATCCAGGACAGTACCCCAACCACAGTCCCACAGGCCAAGGGCCTTTCCACTTCCTTCACTCTCTTTCAGGATTTGTCTAAGGTCAAATGAAGATAGAGAGTTAGTTTTCAGCTTTGAGCATATTCTTGGTTTTCTACTTTTGTGGAGTTCATTCTTCACATTCCTATCCACAGAATGATTAGCTAAGACGCTGAAATAAGGAGTTAAAATCAAATAACCATCACAAGTACAACAAAAAGTGCTGCACATTTGTGTTTATAGAACTTCCTTAAATCCAAATCCAAACATCATCTTTTCATATTTCTTATGATAAACTTTAAAGATAACAGTAGTACTAATAGATGTGATTTATACATTTCTGAGTTCATTCTATTTCAGGTTCTGTTCTAATTACTAACTTATGAAATCATTGCAGAAACCCACTGACATGTGGGCTGTTAGCATCTAACTATTGGCATCACTGTTTAATCTCAATAGTTTCCTGATGATTTTAGAGCAGAACTGAACCCACTGTACCTGGTCAGCTTTTCCAGTATTGTTTATATTATACTCAGATGTCCATGTAGCCAGCCAATAGTCTATAGCCACAATAACTGAATGCTTCAAAAGCTTAGAGAAAATCATCAGGCAGAGTAAGAAGAATCCTCCAGAAGTGAGGTACCACCAACAGGTTTTCCATGGCATTTTCGTTCTGAGCCTCATTACAGTAGACATGTTATCATCCTCATCTTCCTCCTCTTCTTCCTCTACACACAGACATCAAAAAGAAACTTGTTTAAGCTTTAGATGGGCACCATAAGGATGGAATTTTTATTGTGTACCACAAAACTATATATAAGTTTCCCTCAAATTTTATAGATATATATTCAGTCTTGGAAGCTTTAAATGTGTTTGGCAAGACAAACCTCAATTTAAAAAAAACAGGTGAAAAATGAATGAAGGAAGGACTAAATAAACATAAAGTATATATTTGGATAGGACCATTTGCTGATTTCCAGATCAAATTGACTATAAGTTTAAAACAGAAGTTTTGTATAGCTCAGGAAGGGGAACCCATGCTTTCTCTGTTCCATTTTAGAATGGTCATGGTGATAAGTTGACAAAGAGGAAGTTTCCAGAGGTAAAGTCGGTGGCCACAGAGAACAATGGTCAAAGGGGTTCTTTTAAATATTGAAACTGCCTGGGTACTTCAAGTCGGGCTATCCTAAGAATGGACTCCACTGCTAGGGCAAGAACTTTATTGTCCAGCAAAATTTGGTCTTCTGTATGGTCCAGTGACTGCAGTATTTCCCCTCCTTTCCTTCTCCAAAGGCAGTTTTCACTACTCATATCCTGTGCATATTCCACAGGGTCAGAAGGACAGATGACATGTCTCTGCTTTACAGGTTATCAGACCACAGGGATCCGAGTATGAATATGTTTGAACTGAATGCAGCAAGTAAGTGTGTTCTTTGGGTGATGACAGGAATGGAGGTTTGCATGACCAAAAAGGTGAACATCTGCTCACTGCTAGCTGTCTCTCCAGCATTCACTCTCGATTTCTATATTAACTGAAATTTCAGGTTGCCCACGGCTGCACATAAAGACAACATTTCTTGACTCTCCCAGTACCTAGTCTGTCCATGTAATGAACTGGCCAATAGGTGGTACAAGCAGTACATGCAACTCCAAGTCCCTTAAAGGAAAGGAGGTGCCCACTATTTCCTTTTTCCTCTCCTGATTACTTGAACAGGCATAGGACCTGAGCAGCAGCCTTGGAAGGAACATGGACTATAATGAGCTCTTTAACGTATATCATCTCCTTTCCTAAGTAGCACATTATTTTTTTATATCTGAGAAAAATGAATCAAGCTAGCAAGCCCAGAGCAGAATCAGCCTCCCCAGTGGTATACTTCCCCCTGGAAAGAAGGAGGAAATAACTCAGCATAGCTCCATTTTTACAGTGGATCAGAAATAATTGGCTTAGAATTCCAGAAACTAATGAGTGTTTTTAAGAACATTTTTTTTTTAAATCTTAGAAACTGAAATGAAGAATTCAGTTTTTCATTCATTCATTTACTCCATGAACACCTGCTGAAACACTGAATAGACATATGAAACATAAAGGAAGCATGTTTTGCTGTTCTCTGGCTTCCAATTTCAATTTTCTTCACTTATTAGTTGGTTTATTGAAATGCAATTGTAAGTGAAAGCTACATAGGTGACGTGTTTACTAGGTGGTCTTGTGAGGTGGTCCTTACGTATTTGACAGCAAATGTCAAGATAATATAATTATTGTATTTTGTTATTCAGATTTACAGTGAATCCTTTTCCCCAGCTTCCCATATTAGATCCAGAATAGGGAAGCATGACAAATGGCTAATTTTCTTATCTTTCATTGTTTTACTGCCATGAAAGTATCATGAATGAGTGAATCAAATGTAGGTACTTCCAAAGTATCTTTCCCATATTTCCCACTAATTGTACATTTCTGAAGAGTTAATATTCTATTAAATAAATATTTTGATTTGATTATTATGCTAGACCATTCCATTTTTTTTCTGAACAAAGGTTTAGAAATGCTTACAGACCACTGCCTTTTCTTTCAGTTCTCTGTCACACATGGCACAGATGTAATAAGACACACTGTGTGCAGCCCCTCACAGTGCTTTTGGATGGGTTGTGTACACCTTTCCTTCACTTTTATTCTTTTGATTTTTGGCATTGGGCATTTGATTTAGCTTCCCTCCCCCCCCCACACATAAAGTGGCCTGTTATTCCTTATGAAGGAACTCACACATCAACTGACAAGGTAAACCCCTGACATTCTATTACCTCATTTGCACATTTCAGACACAAGAAAAATGATTAAAAATGAAAAGATCTACCTTCGTCTTCATCCTCCATTTGGGCTTTAGCCTCTCTTGAGTACATGGCTCTTCGGAGAGTTTTCCTCTCTAAAGTTGTCTGGTCGGTTTCCATATCCTACAGCAAACATTGTGCCATCATTCAAGGAGCTCCCCGCAGAAGAGGACTTTGACTTTCCAATGAATGACACATGCAGATGGTTTTATGCCAGTCTCAAGGGTCCTCTGCTCATTCTGGAGACCCAGGACTCCAGACACAGGAGCAGTTGTAGAAATGTCAGGTTTGTACAAAACACTTCAGCTCCCAGAGGGCAGCGGGGAGCCAGGAAAACAGAAACAATTTGATGGCACCAATCCCAGGGGCAGGGAAGTAACTCCACTCACCCTAAAGCATAGCTTCACCACTGCTACTTGTTTTATTTTCACATCAATTTCAAACACAGTCATTTTTCTAAGGACTCATATTTATTAACATAAATATCTTCCTTCAGAAAAATGCATGTAGGGGTTGTGGTTGTGGCTCAGTGGTAGAGCGCTTGCCTAGCATGTATGAGGCCCTAGGTTCAGTCTTCAGTATCACATAAAATTAAATAAATAAAATAAAGATATAGTGTCCATCTACAACTAAAATAATAATTTTTTAAAAAAAGAAAATGCATGTACACAACCAGTGTAACTCCACATCATGTACAACCAAAGATGGAAAATTATAATCCATGGATGTATAATATGTCAATATGCACTCTACTGTCATGTATGTCTAAAATGAACAAATTTAAAAAATCAAGAAAAAAAAAAGAAAATGCATGTCATTCTGGGTTGGCTGAACTCCTATCAGGCATCTATTATTAATATGTGTTATTAAATCAGAATGAATTTCTTTAGCATCTCATTGAGGGAGTTGCACAGAAGAAAGGGACTTCAATAGGATTGGAAGGAAAGAAGGTAATTTTGAAGGAAACAAGAAATTAGGTGCTTAGCAGTTTAAGAGAAAAAGGACCTCGGAAGAGGAAATATGGAGAAAGAGAAGGGAAAAGTACCAAAACCAAACTAAATTTTTAAGGGTTGATTCAGAAATGTCCTATGGCCAAGAAAGGGAAAGCATTCCACTTTTTCCATTTCCTGGCTTCCAACCCCTCAGCTCCTGTCCACTAACTTCAGACCTGAGGTGGTAGTAATGGTTCAGTTACTTGGTAGGTTTAACCAGGTTCTGTAGGCCAGTCTGGAAAAATGACCATCACCCTGCTTTTGTGTGGCAAGTGCACTCTGTGTCTCAAAAAAACTTACCCACAAACTTTTGGAACCTATGACAAATTGTGAGCTTCCTGTACATAAAAATACAAATACTATCACCAACAACAGAAAACACAGTTTGTTACATCAGTGGGTCGATGAACTTTTGGCGCTCAATACATAGGTAGTGATCTTGGGTTCTTTGGACCTCATGTCACATGTGGGATTTATGAGACTTGCTCTTCTGTAAGTCTCTATTACTTCCAGATTCTTAGTCAAAAGGGTAAAAGCAGGGCTGGGTTAGTAGCTCAGCGGCAGAGCACTCGCCTCGCATGTGTGAGACCCTGGTTTCAATCCTCAGCACCACATAAAAAATAAATAAATAGATAAATAGAATAAAGGTATTGTGTCCAACTACAACTAAAAAGTGAATATTTTTTTTTTTTTTTTTAAAGGGTAAAAGCAGGGCTGGGGATGTGGCTCAAGCGGTAGCGTGCTCGCCTGGCATGCGTGCGGCCCGGGTTCGATCCTCAGCACCACATACCAACAAAGATGTTGTGTCCGCCAAGAACTAAAAAATAAATATTAAAAAAATTCTCTCTCTCTCCTCTCTCACTCTCTCTTTAAAAAAAAAGGGTAAAAGCAAAAGTGTTTCTTGAATAATATTTTTACAGACAATTCCACATTAGAGATTAACTTTGATATAAAAACTATCATTTTCGATGAGTCTAAATAAAACACAAAGGGAAAAAAGAATTCCTATCCTTTGTGTAGCACGTAAGGGAATGAAATCAACCTGAATCCTGAAAAACAGATTTGACTGGTTTGATTCCCTCCTAGCTGTGAGCATAAGTTTTATCTTGGAGACTTAAAACCACAAAAATCCTTTAAAACAAATTTTCTTAAGAGTAAATGCTCAAAATTAAGCTCATTGTAGGATAAATATTTTAAATTATGTTGATGTTTGGATTAAATAAATACAGTTTTATTTGTCCAATAAATATTGACTGGATCCAGCCACAGTGAGGGTAGGGGAGAGCTAGTGACGGACATCAAATATTGATTTTGGGCTGGGGTAACAGCGCAGTTGGTAGAGTCCCTGCCTCCCATGCACAAGGCCCTGGGTTCAATCCCCAGCGCCACACACACACAAAAAAATGTTGATTTTACTTAATAACATCATGAAAATGATGGTCGATGTCATCCATGCTAGAAGTTTTAATATTTAAACCAGTTAGCAATGCTGTCCCCTTGCCTTTCTTTGTAGTTTTCATTACGACTATCTTTTAAACATTCCTTCTTATTTTACCCGTTGGCTGTTAAGCTGACAGTACTTCCTCAAGCCCTGTGATAGGAGGTTTTGCGTGTCCTTTGGTCTCATTTTCCTTCTGAACTTGCTTCACTTGTTCCGTGTCCAGGCCAGGCTGGCTCAGCTTATCACTGCTGCCATTTGGGATGGATGACTCTTTGTTGTGGGGCTGCTCTGCACACTGCAAAATGCTGAACAGTATCCCACCCACTAGATCCTAGTAGCAAAAATGTCTTCAGATGCTGCCAAGTGTCTCCTGGGAGGCAAAACTGGTCCTGGCTGATAGGTAAACACCCTGTACCACCATATACCAAGCTAAACAGAAAGCTGTGCCCACAAAACCTTCCCCGAGGAACTGAAGTGGTCTTGTTCTCCAAATATGTCTTTCTCTGGCTTCAGGTGCCTGCCTTTCATTATGTGGCAGTAATCTCCCTCCATGCCCAGATGGGGACTCTGGGCAGGTGCTTGGTTATTCTAGCTTCTCCTAGCTGCTATCCACCTCACAGCTGGATCTGTCGTGACCATACCCTCACTTGCTCCATAGCCCCACAGTTGATTTATACTCCTGTTATCTGTCTTTAATTACACAGCTATGCTATCTCAAGTGATCACTTCATTTTAAATACAACTTAATGGACTTTCTTCCTGGCTTGCTTAACAGCATTACTATAATATCAAGCCAACAGCTCTCATTTTTTTTCCAGATCTTCTTTCCAAAGTAAACCATAAATTGTCCCACTCCTTAAGCTTACATCATATTCCTTTGTCTCTGGCATTTAGATCACTGAAAAAAATGTCATTTGGAGCCATCCCCAGTATGTTTATAATCAAGTTTCCCATAGCACAATTCCTAAGTGGTCACTTACCGACTGTACCCTGTAATGGATTTACACAATCTCACTTAAATCTCAAAACCCTGAGAAATAAGCACAGAAAATTTCAATGGCTCTGTGATTTGTCCTATCTCATGTGTAAATTTTTATATGTATCTTTTCTTCTTATTGTGGTTTGCTCTGGGCTCTTCAGCAAATCCACAAAGAAAGAGAAATCTCCAAAATGTGTCTGATTTTCTTCTCTTCCTCTCTATGGAAACATCGTTTTTCTTTTCTTTCTAAAGTAATTCAGTTTAATTTCCTGATTTTAAGAAGAAATTTGCCGATACAAATATTTCATTTTGTAAAGTTCATTTCTGATCAGCAATACCAAATTCTGGATTCATTCTAACCCAAACTCAAAAATCAAAACATTTGGAAAATTTACAAATTTAATTTGCAATTTCTTCTCTTAACCTTAGTTGTACTCAATCTGGTTCCCACCTCTTTTATTGCTTCATTTAATGCTGTAGCATCGTAGGGCAATTAATTTGGATATGGGACCTGAGTTTAAATTTCACTGGTGTCACTTACACGTGCTGTACAGATTTAGGCGGGTTATTTGATCTCTCTGAGCCTTGGTTTACTCATCTATAAAAGTAAGATAATATTTTTCCATGTTTACTTCTCAGCGTTTTGTGAAATGTAAGTAAAATTGTGTTAAAATAAAAGATTTTGTGGACTGTAAACAATTTTTGAGAGTAAAATTTTTAAAATTTATTTCCTTTTCATCACCTTCCCACATCTCTCAGCTCTCACCCACAGCTTTTCTTCCTTTTAAAATCATCTCGATTCAAATTTAAATGAAAACCTATCAAACCTGACAGTGCTTCATCCAAAAGATAGCATTAAAATTTTATGGGTTCAAAGTAGCCTGTTCATGAATGATAAAGACAATTATTTGGGATATGAGATGGGAACCATTATAATATCAAGCATTAAATGTGATGCCACTTTAAAAGCAGTGTTAGTAATTATACAGTGCATTTCTCAGTCTTCTCAAGTGAGCATTTACCTTTTCTAATTCTTGATCTTGCCGATTCATAAGTGTTTTCCAGTGCTCATAAAGCTCAACATCTTTGGTCTGAATGTCTTTCAAAGTTCCTTCTCTTAGCACACTTCCATCCTTCATGGCTATGATCTAAGGCGAGTGCATATAAGCAGACATGGGAGGAAAAAAGCTTTTAGTGACCACATAAATGGCTTTATTTCAGAAAGCATTTCTTCACATCTCTGTGACGTGTCTGTAATATGAATACAACGCAATTCTCACCCAGTCAGCATGTGTCAGGTATTGTAATTTGTGAGTCACGAGAACAAGTGTCCTTTTGTCATCTTGGAGAAATTTCAAAATCCCTTCCTGCATTAAGTGATCACTCAAGTGAATGTCCAGGGCAGAAAATGGGTCATCCTGCAATCAAGTAAATGGAGGAAGATGAACATTTTCCACACTCTTTATGTAACTCAGTTCCATACAAATAACAAAGGACCAATTATCTCCAAAGCAAATTTATAAAAAAATAGACCTTGTATGACTTTAGTCAGAAAAAGATATTCACTTACAAACGGGGCTTTCATTTTTCTCTTTCACTTTAAAAAACACTTAAAAAGTCAGCAAGGATGTTCTAAGTGACTTGATATCTGATAGAATCTTCAAGTTAAAAAACCACATTACTCAGCAACCAACAACAATAGACCAAAGCAAAGACTGAAAAGATAATTGGAGCATCTGAGTTCTAGATAATTAAGATGGGCATAGAAAATGCTAATTGTACACAACTGGACTTAATGGGGTTGCTTTTATGACCAAATAAGGTGATATACATTAAATTCTTTGTACTAAGAGTATAATAAACACTAGACAAATGTCAGTCATTATTAGGTACAAAAGTAATATGCTTAACACTGAATTAATGCCAATCATACGGGGAAGAGTTTTCATGCACTAAGTGATAAAGACATTTAAAAAACGATTTAGGAAATTATGGTTATTGACTTTAGTGATGATGTTACCTATGAATAACATTTTATTCCTATAATATGATAGCATTGGATTGCATGGTTTCATTTCTTGAGGAATTTAAAAGAAGAAAATAAGAAATCACTGAAGAAAACTTTCTTCTTTTTTTTTTTAAATCAAAGGTCATAACTTTATTTTTTTTTTTCTGAAGAAAACTTTCTAGTTTTCTCAAAACAATGAATTGCAAAGCAAAATGATCTGTATGGATGGATGATGGTGCAGAAATATATAATTAACGGTCAGAAGCACCAGTAATGGAAAGGGATGAAGGAAGCTGAGGAGTGGCTGAAGGAACAGAGCAGTACAAAATGAGAGAGGTTTCTGGTAAGGAACTGAGAAGAGTGATTGCAATCTTGTCTTCTTCATCGCCTCACACCTATTTCATTGCTGTAATAATATGCAAATTTCTACTTTGTCATGTGGTCCCAAGAAAATAGTGGTTGGATTTTCATTCTAATGCAGATAGGTTACCTATTTCAATATTTATAAATTATAATCCTGGAAAAATTTGGAAACAATTTGGCACCAGTATATTCTCTATATAGATAGATACTATTGGCTCATTATGTAGACAATGCCAAATAAAAGCAATTTCTAATTAGATGGAAATTGATATTTGGAAGTTAGTATAAATTTATGTAGGGGCTGGGGTTGTGGTTCAGTGGTGGAGTACTGCGTGAGGCACTGGGTTAGAATCTCAGCACTGCATATAAATAAATAGAATAAAGGTCCATTGACAACTAAAAATATTTTTAAAAAGAATAAATGTATGCAGGTGGTCATTACTGGCAGTGACATAATCAGCTCAATAGTTTTTCAATTCTCCACCAATCTCTGCCTGTATAGACAGAATCTTTAAGCAATATGGCCTTATTAAAGTATTTAGGAGAAGCCTTATAAAAAGAAATAGGAGTAAAGCATTCAGATAGTTAAAGGGTGATTCAAAATTGATAATAGCCTTTTAAAAATCAGTCTATCTAGGGCTGTGGATATGGCTCATTGGTAGAGCATCTCTGGGTTTGATCCCCAGTACTGCAGACAGAAAAAAAAATCAAATCTACTGGATATCATAGTTGCGATGCTAGTTAAATGGGTGACATAACTAATGTCCACAAAAGGCTTTTATAGAAATACATTTAGCAACAGAAGTTGAACATAACTTTCCTATGTTCATATATGAATACATGACCAGTGAAACTCCACATTATGTACAACCACAAGAATAAAATCCTAATTAGAATATGTGTATTCCATGTATGTATAATATGTCTGAATATACTCTAATGTCATGTATATCTAAAAATAACAAATTAAAATATTATATGTAAAGAAATACATTTAGCAACAGAGAGATACCTGTAATTATTTGGTTGATTTAATCCATTTATATCATGGACTATTGTGATAATGTGAGAGTTGAAGAAAATTGTTATAATAGCTGCACACACATACACATATATAATTTTACTTTCTTTGTACTTAAAAATGATAATGAAACAAAATTGACTTAAGGACAGTTATCTTGATCTGAAATTTATTTGGATGATACAGATCAGACCCCCTAGATATATCAGTTATCAATTATTTTCAGAATGTTCCAAGAAGTAGTATGCATAAAAGATTGAGCTGACTTTTTACTGCTCAGTGCATTGCTTTTTAAAATAATCTCAGACACTAGCTCCTCATCATTTAACTCCTAATTATGATGAAAACAAAATATGTGAATTTTCTTATAGTTAGATTTTGGGTAAGTGATAGAATTCTACTGGTTAAATATATGGCTTTTCTTTTAACACAGCAGTCATAATGGAACTTCTGAATTACTTAAAAATGAAAATTCAGGCATCAGTACCAAGTGTTGCAGGGTAAGATATTTTCACAGCAGTAGAAAATAGTTATCACTGTTTCAAGCTCAAACAATGCATTCATCTCCATCCACAACAATGCAGCAAGGTTTTGCTACTAAGATTTGTTTTATAGCAAATTACTGCTTTTAGGAAATCAGATAATCGTCATGGGGTAACTTGACTGCTTTTGAGACATATTTTAGCTTCTCATTAAAAAAAAAAACCCTAGGAACCTTGTTGATACAGGCCAAACTATAATTCTTTCTGAGAATATCTCACATATACTAAAAATAAGACATGAATTATAAATGAGGTTTTTATAATTTAATTTGGTTTTCATAAAATTCTGGCTTTAAATGTTATAAGCAAGCAAGGGGTAATGAAAAGTTCATTATTTCTAAATTTAAGGACCCTAAATTGTAGTTCTACACTGGGTAATGCTTCAAACTGTCATTCCATTAGTATAATGAATAATAAATGTATTATTATGCAAACGAATAATAATGAAGAGACTAGGGAGAAAGTACATCAGATCACTACAAAGAGTCAATAAAATAGTGTAGTGTGGGGGTGCACATCTGGAATCTCAGTGGCTCAGGGGCTGAGACAGGAGGATTAAGCGTTCAAAGCCAGCCTCAGCAACAGAGAGGCACTAAGCAATTCAATGAGCCCCTGTCTATAAATAAAATATAAAAATGGGCTGGGGAATGTGGTTCAGGGATTGAGTGCCCCTGAGTTCAATCCTTGGTACCCCCACCCCACAAAAAAAAGAGATTCAATAAAATATTGTAGTAAAAGTCTCTATAAATCATTTTGAGACTATTATTTTAGTTTTACTTTCTGATAAATAAAGCTATAGTGGATTCATATTGTGCTTATATCTTCAATGCCTCACAGTGAGAATTTTGTCTTCTGAGAATCATTTAAAAAGAAAGTGTGGTGATTAAGAGCACAATCTGTGACCTGAACAGAGAAGGAAACAAGAGAGTGAACCTAGAGAATAGAAGATCTTTGCCAGCTGATCCTCTGATAAGGGATTAATATCTAAAATATAAAAAGAATTCAAAAAGTCCAACAACAACAACAAAAAACTAATAACCCAACTAAAAAGACACTTCTCAAAAGAAGAAATAGAAATGGCCAACAAATATACAAAAAATTGTTCAACATCTTTAGCAATCAGGGAAATGCAAATCAAATCTACATTGAGATTTCATCTCACTCCAGTTAGAATGGCAATATCAAGAATACAAATAACAATAAATGCTGGTGAGGATGTGGGTGGGGGAAAAGGCACACTCATACATTCTCGGTGGGACTGCATATTAATATAATCACTCTGGAAAGCAGTATGTATGGAGATTCCTCAAAAGGCTCAGAATAGAACCACCATAGGACCTAGCTACCCCACTCTTTGGTATTAATGCTAAAGAACTAAAATCAGCATACTATAAGGATGCAGCCACGTCAATGTTTAAAGCAGCACAAGTCACAATAACCAAGTTATGAAACCAGCCCAGGTACTCATCAACAGATAAATGAATTAAAAATTGTGGTATGTATACACGATAGAGTTTTACTCAGCTATAAAGAAAAAATGAAATTGTCCTTTGCTGATAGATGGATAGAACTGGAGAACATTATGCTAAGTGAAATAAGCTAGACTCGTACAGTCAAGGGTTGAATGTTTTCTCTCATATGTGAAATCTAGACCAAAATAAAGAAAAACAAAAGTGGGAGGTTCCCATGAAAACAGAAAGTAGATCAGTGGAGTAAAGGAAGGGGATTGAAGGGGGACCTGGTGGGATAGGAAAAGGGAGGAACTTTGGAATTAATCTGACCAAACTTTTCTATGTACATATGTGAATATACCACAGGGACTTTCACCTCCATGAATATATAATTTAAAAAACTTTTTAAAAAATGTACCATGAAATCAAGCTCCACCCCCAGATTTATGTCCCTGCTTCACTATTACCATCTGTGTGACCTTGGATACATGTATCCCAAAAGCCTTGTTATCATTACCAATACAGAGAAGTAACAACACTGACAACAAACAATAACCAAATCTAATGGGGTTATTGTATACATCAAGTGAGCTAATGTGAATCAAGTACTTATGATCATACCTAGGTGATAGACAGTCATTAGTAATGACAGGTATCACCTCTACTCCATGGCTTCATTGTGGAACATCTTGGCATTGTAGTCAAATGTAACCTTAACCTTAACTTAATAAAAACTCAGGCTTGATGGATTGAGAAGCATATCTCAAGGTTGTCTGTATATTCATACTTTGGGGAGATACTTCCTTTAAAGAAAGCAAGGAAATTTGCTAAATGGCCAATTCTATGAATGTCCCATTCTTCACTTTCAAGAGTATTTTTTAATGTTTTTTAATGTTTATTTTTTAGGTGTAGTTAGACAGAATGCCTTTACTTATTTATTTTTTTATGTGGTGCTGAGGATCGAACCCAGGACCTCACACGTGCTAGCAAGTGCTCTAACGCTGAGCCACAACCCCAGCCCAAGAGTGTTTTATTTTAATGTACATATATACACTTTTTATAAATATATTCTCTTCAGTATTCAATTAATATATTTAAGCAAAATGTTTTTATGGATATGGATTTTTTAAGAATTTTTATGGAATATATTAATTGATATACACAACACATTTGTAGATGCCATAAGGTTTCAAAAGTAACTAATATTCTTGATACATAATTCAGATGTTTTCATGTGGCTTTGATGATGTGTTAAAGCTAACATGATAAAGTTTATTTAGAGAAAAATATAAAACTATTCAAATAATTATTTTACAAATAAGATCCTTAAAGAGAGAGTAATGACTTTTTATTGCCTTTGTTTCCTCTCACTCTGCATAGAAGATGAAACTGATTGATGGAAAAGAGAAAGGAGGAAGGGAAGAAGAGAGGGAATAAGTAAATCTAGAAGAATGTAAATTAAGGCAAACTATGATAAGAATATTAAAATGTTGAACCATGGCTGCATGAAATTGTTACATTTGTTATTGCAAAAGCATAAAGAGAATCAATAAATGGAAAATTACACAGGAGCAAATTTAAATCACATTATAACTTTCCAATAATAAAAACTGTGTTTTGGGATAATGGCCCCTGTTAATGCCCATGTCCTACTGCTTAAAACCTGGGGCTACGTTATAGATGTGATTAAGATGAAAGACCTTGAAATAGGGAGATTATCCAGATGAACCCAAACCAACTACAGGATTCCTTTAAGTAGAGAATTTTTCTGCATGAGAGAGAGGGAGATGTGAGTGGTCGGCAAGATACAATCATGCTGACTTTGAAACCAGAGGAAGGCAACTGTGAGCGAAGGAATACAAGCAGCCCCTAGATACTACAAAAGCCAAGGAAATGAATTCTCTTCTAGAGCCTCCAGAAGGAACACAGATCTGCTGACACTTTGTTGGACTTCTACACTACAGAACTGTAAGATGCTAGATTTGTGCTATTTAAGTCATCCGTTATAGTCATTAGTTATAGCATCACTAAGAAATATATATATACTGTCCAACAAGGGAAAGGATGCCTTAAAGATAAGCAGTGTATCTTCAGAGTGACCAAGAAGCTGGTAAAGATGAATGCTAAAAGTATCCTGCAATGAATGTTTGGGAATCCAAAATAAAATTAACCTTTTGACAACTTTAAGTTCAATAATTTGACAACTGATGTCAGCGTTATTAAATTTCAGGCAATAGAACGAACTGGGATATAAGATCATACCCAGAGGACCTTTTGATTTCCAAGTCTGTAAACCTCATATGGTACTGATCCCAAGTTTTAAAAACTCATTTCAAATTGTGGGTCCATCCATTATACAAAGGATGTACAACTACCTAGGTAGCTGCTAGAGCCTGCTGTGGCATTTATTTACTTACTTATTTATTTATTTATTTTAAATTTCAGAGACAGGTGTTTTTAGAGGTTTATTCTGAAATGAATTTCCAGAGTGTCCCAATTCTTCAACTCTCTCAAGTAATGTAAATTCAGTGAGAAACCCCAAAGTCAATCTACATTTTGAATAGGTTCTAAAGATAAGATGGAATGAGGACTCTAAATAAGGTCTAAAACTCAGATTTATAAATGGTTAACAGTTGCCCAGAGAAGAAAGCAGGGAAGGATGTATTTACATACTCTGCTTGTCTCTAACATATATTCACTACCTATAAACTTAGTTATTTTACCTACTGCCTCCTGGAGGAACAAAAAATAGACCAAAACTATAATCAACATTATCACAAAGTTTTGAGAATCTGTGGATAGAGACATAACCAGGAACCCAGGATGATCATGAAAATCATCCACGGAGATTTTTAAAGACAGATTTTAGACTCTTCCGTTAATGCTTATGATTCAGGTAGAGCCAAGATTTCTATAGTTTGAGGCAGCATCACAGACAATCTTACCTATAGCCTGAGTTGCATACCACTGGAATGCAGTACTGTGCTTAATCACCCCGTGCCCATCAAGGATATATTTTTTTAGCCTCTCTTTCTTTGTCATTGAATATAAATGAGAAGACGTGTGATTCTGCCCAGTGGATCCAGTATCATTCACATTCCCTCATTAATGATCCTCCTGGTCAAGAAACTCAGATAAACCCCACTTAGAGCACCACAGTCCTTGGACACCAAGCTGAATTCCCCAATCTCAACTCTCCATGTCAATCTTCCACTGATTTTTTGCCATATGCATTTGGTTCACTTGTATGCTCTATGATTTCACAAGTTAAACCATTTTCTCTTAAGTTACTGGACTTGTCTTTGCAAAGACTCTCATTGGTTTAGAGGAAAAAAATGAAATAGAAATAAAAGATAGGACTATTTTCTTACCAAGAAGACAATGTTGGTGTTTTGATAGAGAGCTCGTGCCACACAGATTCTTTGCCTCTGCCCCCCACTCAGATTGATGCCCTAGTGAAGAAACACCCATTTTTTTCCATTAGTAAAAAAAGAAAAAAAAATCTGTTAGCAAAAAAATATCCTTAGAATACAAAAGCCTCTAAATATTTTAATTGTGGTTTCATTGGTAAGAAAAAATGAAAACTGCCTAGTGGTAAATGATTGAATTATTTCAAGATAGTTTTTGACTGTTATAATCCTCCTTTCACTCTTGACAGAGAGCTCTGCTCTACAGAAGCATTAATAACCAAAACACTTGGCAAGTGCCAAAGATTACAAGCCATTTCAAAATTTTTTTCTAGTTTCCTGAGTTGTTTCTGTAGTTTATTTAATACATACCTCTTAAATTTGATATTATAAGTTATGTTAAACAGTACTATACATCAACATTCTTTCATAATTAAGTATTAATTATAAACATTTAAAAAACTTGCATTCATTTAGCAGTTAGTATGCACCAGGCTTGTATAAATGGCTTTACATTTCCTATGTCTTTTTTTCCTTATAGCAATTTCAACATGTACTTCTTGTTCTCACATTACACATGTTGAAACTGAGGCTCAGAAAAGTTAAGTCAATCCTCTTAAATACTGTATTATACTGCAATAAAGAATAGTCATTAAGAATAAAGATGACAAAGTTACAATAATCCTGGCAGCACTCCTAACTTTGCACTTGGGCAAGTTCCTTAACTCTTCTCAGTCTTGGTTTTCGCAGCTGTAAAATGTAGAGAACATTAACACCCATAACACAGATTTGTTGTCAAAGTTGATAATGCATTTACCCAGCACTTGATACCTCTGAGGGTTAAAAACTTTTAGTCAATAATGTCACAAAGATTGCAGGTATAAACATTTTTCAGGAGGTCAAAATAGCATGACGTCAATGTAAAGTATGTTTACAGGAAGAAAAAAGAACACTTCAATAAGAATAAATAGATGTTGACAAGAGTGGAAGAAGCTGTCGGAAGCAATCTCAGTTTCCAAAGCAATGAGAGTAAACTCCAAGTAAGGAAAAACACATTTGGTCAAAGCAGGGATGTCTTTTACTTTCCTTGAGAATTCCCGAGTGGTTAGCACAACATTGTTTGGTTACTTAATAAATACTTAAGGGACAGTGGCATCAAAGGACTCCTGTCCTCACATTTTGGAATTTGTCAGTAGGACAACAAGCAATTCCTAAGCTCTCAAAGTTCATTATGCTCCACTAAGAAACAAAAGGCTTTTCTAGAAATTTGTCCATTGATTAAACAAACTATACATAGCTTACCCTCTCTCCAATTTCAGTTTGGTCTCCAAATGGTAATAAGTCAATATCTGGCTGAAGAGAACAGGCATCCGTGACAGCTTTGTACCTTTGGGGGAAATGGTTTTGAATTTTCAACCATTTTTAATACATTGCCCATAAACAAACTCTCAGGTTCAATAATGTAGAAGCCATAATAAACCATTTACTGAACAATTTAATATATACTAGCCTCTAGGCACGGTTTGTGGATACAAAGATAAATAGGCATAGGTTCCTATTCTTCTCATCACAAAAATAATAGCAATGGAATTAATAATGCGTATGTTAAATAGTTAGATTTAGTCATCCCACAATATGTACATATTTTGAGATTTCATGTTGTACACGACAAGCACATATAACTCTGCTAATTAAAAAAAATGTTCAAAGCTAGAGTACAGAGCAGAAGACTGATACAAAAACTTAATAAAATGTGCCTTGTGAAGTACAATTAGTGGAGGTGGGTCCTTATCATTCCTAGAATATAAGAAAGAAACGACTAAATGCTTTTAGAAGATACAGGAAGCAATGCTTAAACAATATCCAGAAAGGTGAGCAGTAATCCTCCAGGAAGATAATGTGGTGAAGGAAGATCAAGGGATTTCATAAGGTAAAAAGGTTACGGATACACACTAGGGACAACAGGAGGGTCACTGTGGCTAGAGCTGAGGCTGCAAGTGGGTGTCCATGCGTTTGTCATGAACACTGAAGGGAGCAGAAGCAGAAAGCAAGGAGGATTGATAGATAGCACTCAAGCTGATTTGAGGCTGCAACAGGGAAGCGGATGAGTTGGAAGTGTAGGAGAGCCTGGGAGTTGGAGATGGTTGGGGAAACATGGATCCTTTTGTTTTCTTAGTCCCGAGTCTTAAAATATTCAGGTCATTCTTGGTTATTTCATCTTCCATGTCTCCTCATGTTTGTCTATTCTTACTCTAGAATGTTTTTTCTCAACCATCCATTCTTTCACATTTCTTTTATCACCCCTAAATTCAGGTGCCACGCTGCATGCCTGGGTGATTATTCCCACTAATTTTGAAATGTTTCCTTGCTTCCAGTTCAGAATAAATCTGTGTCTGCATCTGTCTATATGGATATCCACTCTGTCATGTTTTACTTCCAGATTAAACATCATATTCACCTTGCTATCCCCCTACCTAAAGCTTACAGAGCCTCCCCAGAATACACACAATGATAGCCACTTAGCTTTTATGTCCTCCAGGAGCAAATCTCAGCCTTCGGAATCCCCATCTGTCTGCCTTATTCCCAGGCCCCCAGAAGACCCATGTAATTTGTTCTTCCACTGCCTGCCTTTTCCTTCCCTCCCCTTGTCTTCAGACCCACCCACCTTCACCTCTGAAGGTGGCTCAGTAAAGGGTTATATGTTCCAGGGAATATGTTTGAGAGAGAATATTCTGGCTGCTCCTGTCACTAGATTCTCACCCCAAACCCTTCTGTCCACTGTTAACTCCCTTTCTGCACCTTACCGGGATTTTCCCTTCACTGTTATTTGCTTCCATAACCTAAGCAAGTCCCCTATTTGACACACACTTAATATCTTTATTTATTCTTGGTGTATTAACTGTTCTTGATCAGGTTCTAGGATAGGTTGGAACTTCCAAAGAGGATGTTCTTAAAAGAACTGATTCAAAAGACTTTGGTGGGAATGGAAATGGGGCAAGCAGTCCCAAACAAGAAGGTTCTAGAAACCATGGATCAAAGGCATGGATTAGAAATAATTGTTCTTTCAGTTCTAAATTGTACACATGCAAAATTACCTCTGTTTGTTGAAAGGACTTCCAAAGGTAATATTTTCTTCTACTGTAGCATTTAATAACCAAGGCTTTTGTGCTGCATAAGCTACAGAATACCTGTTCCTACTGGAAAATGGAAAAGAAAAATAAAACACTGAAATTATGCAAGGTGCAAAGATTTTAGCATAACTAAGAAAAAGAAAAGTTGACAAAACATCTCATACCCAGAAATGGGAAATTTTTAAAAGAGAAAATTTCAAAGACCACCAATCTTATGAAGATATGATTAAATAAGCCACCTAAATTACAGGGATTATAATTTAACCAAATTGTCATCTAATGTATAAAAATTGACTGTACTATGCTGATGAAGTGTTTTAAGGAATGAACTACTAGTTGAAATTGTCTTTTCTAAGATGATTATAATTTTAAATAATTAAAATATTAATAACAATTCACTCTCCAAAAGCCACAGATATTTTAATTTACATTAGAAGTACTTTATAGAACTGTGAATTTTATATGTAGACCTTTAAAAAGGCATTAATTAATGTTATAATTATAGTATGTATTTGTTGCTTAATTACACTAACATATTTTAAGGTAATAGGTTATATATAATAAAGAATAATAGATTGAAGAGCCCATTTCAGCATTGAAATTATACATTTTAAAAGTACATATTTCAAAACATATTGAAATAGTTTATTTTAAAAAATAACTTCCTCCTCTCCTTTCCATTTTTTTTTTGCTTGAAAATTGTACCAGATGTCTATACATCAGACTTTAATTTGCAATAATTAGGAAAATACATATGAGCTAAAGATAAAGAGGATGGTGGGACGAGTTGGGGAAGGGATCAGATCAGCTTACAAGTCAGACTTCCACAGTTAGTTCATGATCTGTAAGTACTAATGAAGGAATTAAAGTTAAAGGAGAGTAAGGTTAAAAAAGAGACATTACAAATGCTCAGTGATCATCATGGACCATTTTAGGATTAGAAGACATGATAATGCATGGTATGCTAGCCGTCTTTCAGACGATTATATATACAGTGAAACAGCGGTTCCCAAACTCTGACATGTCAGCCACCCTTTCCCCTGGTCTTCAAGGTATGTTTTAGTTTTTGTTTTATTTTTATTTTTTCCTGGATGGGGATTAAACCCAGAGTCTCAAGCATGCTAAGCATGTACTTCAGCACTGAGCTCAGCCCTGAGCTTCCTGGGGCTTTTTTAGTTTGTTTTTTAAGTAGATACAGCTTATTGTTTGACTCACACAGTCAACATATGCATTAATTCCCACATTTTTATTTTATGAACTCTCAAACCTAATTTAACAAGGACAGTTTGAGTTTTAGCCAAAGTGGACATCATGTGGCTCACTGAGATGAAAACAAGGCCACAAGGAGCCATTTTGTTTCATCAGTGAATTCTTTTAGTAGCCTGTAAGGTTGGGAACCACTGCTGTTGCAAATATGCCGGCACATTAAAAGAACTGTATGTCATCAGAATGAACAATGACGAGGAGTAAGGGATTAAAGTAAAGACCAAGGAAGGAAGTTATTCTTATTAAACTCAGGTTAAAATAGAAATAATACCTTCTGGTTGCTTCAAAAGAAGGCTCAGATTCATTTACACTGCAAGTATGGCAAACAATGTTCATTAATTATGAAGTATAAATACAGAATGAATATGTGTACATATCAGGCAAGGGATAAAATAAACATTGGAAATATTAAACAGCTTACAGACAAACCAGATTTAAAACAACAACAACAACAAAAACTTCTTCTTTTATGTCTTCTTCAGCTCGGAAAAAAACTATTTAATAAGTTTCCAAAACATAGATAACAATGTTATCCTTTGTAAAAATTCTGGTGCATACAATTCCAACTCTGTTATAATTAGTTGTGGAAATTTGGGTAATCTCTGTAGAATAAAGGTTTCTAGTTTCATAAGGACTCTGCATTTCCAGCATTCCCCTACTTTTAAATTTTGAATTTAATCTGTTTAAATTTATAAGTAACTACCTTAAGGCATGATTAGAAGAAGTATTTTGGGGGTTTAACCATAGAAGATACAAAAAAACACAGCTGGCTCACAGAAGCTTGTAAGAAAAACAGACATATATGGTATGTCTTACTACAATATCTGAACATCATAATTATATGATTTATGTAAAAAGTCAGGTCAGACTAATTGCATTTAGTTATACCTATGAGGAAAAAATTTATTTGTTTTATTATCCTAATTTTAATAACAGATTCTGTTGAGTTGTATCATTCTGAAGGATATGAATTTAATAATCACACATATGTTTAAGCCTATAGGAACTACAAAAATAAATCCTATTTGTGGAAAATCTCATATGCTTTATGTGATGAAAATTTACCTAATGGCATTATGTAGTGATATTTGGTTTAGAATTTTTAAGGACTATTTTCCCTATTGCATACTGCTAATGACATCTTGCTATAGATGATGGAGACAGGAAGAAACTATCTCAGACTAAAAATTCCTATCAATAATGATTATTCCCTTTTTCAGGTTATCCATAAAAAAATCAAGTAATGAAATACTCAATTCCCTAGCAATATTTTCTACAGAATATGCTTTAGAGACAAAGACATTTAGATTTTATTTTTAAAAAATCTATAAAAAGCCAAAAAAATGACCTCAATAGTTTTAGCTAATCTGAAGAAGAGAGAGAAGTAAGGAGGAAGAGCAGGCGTGTAACAGAAATTAATGGGTTGGTTTGCATATTGATTAACCAGGTAGAAAGGCTCATCCCACATTTGAAAATGTCATCCCATGCTGGAGACATGGATTTGAAAGTCATGAACTTACTCAATAAAGACTGATTAAAGTCCAGCTATTTTCAATACTAATTAAAATATTTATTAATCTCCACCTAGTATAGAGAATACTAGAAATACAGTGGGCTAGGAGGATCCATTCCTTCTTTCTTGCTATTTCACTTTTGGGGGGAGTCCAACTCCCTCCAAACACTAAGGAAGAAACACTAAGGTAGGTGAGGTACAGGGCGGTACTGGATCACAGATACCCGAGCCACTTCTGACTAATCAGGGTAAATAGCAGAACTAATGGCAGAGGAATAATTCAGAGTGGGTTAGATGAATAAAAGATCCATAGTACTTTAGGCTAGAGAAAATACATATTGGATGGCCATCAGGTTTCCTGCTCAAACAAGGAATGGATATAAATTCAGCATGGCTAAAATGTGTGTTTAAGTCAAGAAAAGGAATTAATAAACTTAAAAAGTGAAGCAAGCCAGATAATGAAGGTGCTTTTAAACCATTTTACAAGACTTGAGCTTTTCCTCAGAGCAACAGTAAATCACTGGAAAGGCTTAATCAGGAGAGAGAGAGAAAGGTTCTATTGAGAGACATTACTCCCGTTGCGGAAGGTAACAAGTGAATTGGAGGGAATAAGACTGGAGGTGATGCAGAGACCACTGGAGGCTGTCAGGGTAATGAGGATAAGAAGGCAGTGCCCCTAATCAGAGCAATGGAAGGGAGGGAGACCACACTGAGAAAGCTAGCATTGCGACTGATTGGAGGGAGAGACTGAAGAAGAACAAGGAGTCAAGAGAAAAAAGAGAAAGTATCCATGGTGGTAAGAGAAGGTGATAGAGCAGCATTTAACTTGTTCAGTGCCTAAGAAACAACCAAATGACCATGGCCAGGAAGCAAAATTTCAAACTCAAGAAAGAGATCTGAGAGACAAATGAAAAACTTTGGAGTGATTTTCTTTCACAATATATATCTTGGATACTAAAACTTTGGATTCCATTCTTAATTAGTAAAAAGCTCATGTAATGGCTCTTGTTTCATAAGAGAATAAAAGATCAGGAGCAGAGAGTGAAAACTAAAATCAGAGGAAGTGTGTGTACCCAGTATGTGCAGAAGTAGAAAAGGATAAATACTGAATCCTGAAAAATGTCACTGCTCATCAAAATGGCTCATCAAGAGAAATCTGGAGAAGAAATCAAGAGGAGTAGGCAAAATTTTAAGAGGTAAATTGGACTGTAAATTTTATTGGAAACTAAGCAAGGAGACCTTTTGAGAAGAAAGGTATTGGTAATGATGTCAGTGGCCAGAGGTCAAGGAAGATAATGGCTAGAAAGGTTTCAATGAGCTATATGCCAAGATGCCATTGATGGCTTGGATAAGAGTAGTTTTATTGGAGTAGTAGAAGTAGAAACAGATTGCAGTGGACTAAGGTGAGAATAGAAAATGAAGAATTGGATATGATGTTGCTTTATCTACCAAAGGAAAGGAATGGAGGGTAGCTGCAGTAGGCTTTGGGTCAAAATTTAAAAGATAGATGGTAGATAGGTAGATAGATGATAGATAGATAGATAGATAATAGATGCAAGAGTCTTCTTAGCTACAAACAGAAATGGGGTAAAAGCTAGAAACTGGACCATGTATGAAGCAGATAAGGAAAGAAAGACAGCAAGCTGTGGCTTCAGCATCTCAGAATCTAGTAAAGAGACTACATTACATTTTAATAATTTCAACCAGGAGCAGAAAGACCAGAAAATGAAGTATTTTCAAGTCCTGGGAGGATAAAAGAAGACTTTGCTAACGAAATAAACACCCGACTTGACAATAGAAGAAAGAAGGAGGCTGGAATATGTGCTTTGAAGGGACTACCCTCAGTTCATGCCCCTGGAGCACAGTGTCAAGGGTGGGTGGAATGAATGGCAGAATAGCAGCTGTAAAAGTTAAACAGGGTCCAGGTCATGAAAGGTGTTTGGGACATTTCCCATATTCTTTTCTCTGTCAGTCAATACAAGATTATAAGCTAGAGGGAAGTAGTTAGAGTTTCATGTCAGAAAGGTAAATCTGCCAACAGTGTGCAGAAAAATTAAGAAGCCAGTAGAGTGAGCAGTCCACATTAAGTGGTATGTACCTGAACTAGGGAAACTAAAATAGACACAGAAATGTAAGGATGGGCATCAGAAAATTGGAAGAATGGAGATAGTAATTGGCTAGATTTTGAGGATGATGGAAAGTGGAGTCTAGGTTGATGCATCGAGCTCTGACTTAGGCCCCCACCAACTGATTTTAGGGGATAAGGATATAGCCTAATCAGGAAACAGGAGGAGAAGCAGGATTTGGAGATATGAGGGATAGAATTTCAGTTTGTAGGTATTGAATTTGCAGCTTGTATAAGCCTTTTTGGAGAGCTATTGGGTCTTCAGAAGAAAGATTGTCTCAAAATGTATAGTAGGTATTATTAGTACTTAGAGAATATCAGAATCAAAGTCATAATTTAAAGGATAATTGAAGGAGTTCCTATTGTCTATAGTAGACTCAGAAAAGCAGTCAAAAGGATGGAAGGAGAATTAGAGTATTCTTCCACTTCTTTCATCACAACTTTTATTGCGGCTCCCAACTTTCTTACTCATTGATTTTGGTTTACAGTTAAAATGCAAGGTCAAATGGTCATTAATTTATTCACCTCCCCCTAAGAAATTCCTTCTTGGCCCTATTCAGTTAGGTCACCCATTTTGTTTTTATAAAATCTTGTACTTCTCCTTCTTGGTATTTATATAAAAGAATAATTAAATATATATTTTTTTTCTTATTTTCTCATGGTCTTCTCTGGCAAACAGTAAATTTCCATGAAAATAGGGGCCTGGCTATCCTTATCCACTTATTTGTCTTCTAATAACTAATATCATGTAACAGATATACAATAAATATTTTTTGGTAAGTGAATAAATGAAAGTGTCACGGAAATCAAGAAATGAATTGGTTTCCAGGAGTCGTGAGTGGTGAAGTGTCAGAAGCTATGAAGAAGTTTAGTAGGTTTGAGAACTAACCAGTGGGACCCAGCCCTTATGCAGGCATTGGTGAGAACTTTGTCCAGATGGCCACTCACAGAATGAAAGAAAAGAAAGGAGATGAGTGTGGTAGACTGCTCTTTTGAAAAGAGAAATGTTCCAGTTGCTTGAAAGACAGGCAAAGCCATTTTTAAATAGAGGATAATGGAGTGTGAAGAGCAAGAAGTAAAGATAAAAGTGATAATTAAAGTAGTCAGCTCTTAAAAAGGCAAGAGAGCACATAGGAGATCTTCATTTCTGAGAACTTTCCTCCAAAGTTCTGTGTATATATTTCTTTGAGGATAAAAGTAAAATGTGCTCTACATCTACTACTTTTTAGAGGAAGAAAGAGAAGGTAGATATAGATACATTTCTAAGAATTCATTTTCCATGAGCAAATTAAAAATTATCCTATTCTCTCACATTTTCCATGAGTAACATTACAGTCCTTTACTTCTGGAGATCACCTATTTCTACCCTCTCACAAGACAATATGTTAATCAAAATCCATGTGGAAGGTTATTTTTTCCCTTTCCAAAACAAAGAAATAGAGTCAGCTCTGAATTCCAAAATTGGACCTTATTTGGTAACATGAAAATCAGTTGTTCCATGTCTAGACTCATCTTCCACCATAGTGGGGTAGTGAACAGCGCCAAAGGCAATAAGAGACAGCAAAGATGCCAAATGGAAAATCTCCTTCTGGAAAATAAGATTTCACTTCTGAATGCCTCTCCATGTAGAATTTGTGTGTGTTTTCTTCTAAAAGTTAAAGTTAAAGTTGGTTTACTAGCAACTTCCAAGTATTATGGTTGATACATTATGGAATGGAAAGTGACTTTTTCAAGCTTACTTAAGTCAGCAACAGTATTTGGAAGAAGGAAAGCTAGATGTTGACAAAAACATGATGATCCAGGAAAGTTGACTCAATATATTATTGAATTATTATTCCTTCATGCCAGCCAAAGTCACACAAAGAAGAATAACTCTTTAATTCATCTGTCTTCAAATGCTGAATCACTGTTATAAAGCAGATTGCACCAAGGTGCTAAAAGATAGAACATCAGGACAGATGGGTCTTAAATAGAATGGCTGGTGGCATGGATGAGAAGGAAAAGAAAACAAACATAAACATCAGCTATTTCTCACATGATTATTACACATTCTGGTTTCTCTCACTGGAACCATCCATCAGATAAGGAATGTTAGTCCTATGTCCAAAAATATTAGGTATGAAAGTATATCATGACACTCAGGAAATGACAACTTCATTCAGGTAGAACACTTGCTTTTCAACAAATGTAAAGCACACCCAGATGCAAGAATGATGTGCAAACTGGCATTCCAGCAATGTTAAAGAATATTTTAGTTCCTCTCTCCTCTCTCTCATCTTTCTCCTCTGGGTCTGCAACACATCAGACTGGGCCAAGTTATCTAAGAAGCATCTAAGAATGTCTTGGTGTACCAGGTTCTACCCATGTAAACGGGTCCTATATGAACAGCAGTGCCTTCTCTCCTGCCAATGTAAATATTTCTCACTGCAATAGGTCAGAGAACTTTGCTGGAGTTTGCTGATGCCATTCTATAAAGACACAATTGAAAATAAAACTTATGCAATCAGAGATACGTGAAATGATGAAAGAAGAACTATTTAGTTAATTGCTTCACTTGATTTTGTGTTAAGCTTTTAAAAAATCTAAATCATCAACTTGTCAATACTGATGACTTCTAAATTAGTTATATATTAATACTAATTAATATTTATATGCCCTTGCTTATTGAACTGGACATATAACTATTTTTTTCTAGAATTAAAAAAGTAATCACAAATAACTCTTTAAAACAAAGTTAGGATCCTCTGAACATTCCTGATATAAAAACATGTCTTATCATATCCCTCACTCCTTCCCATGTGCCCTCTAAATCCTCAAAAAGCATTTACAAAATAAACTGTGGTGATATTTTCAATTTTTAAATTAATTGACACATGAAATCTGGTTTTGAATGATTTTTTAGGAATATTGAGAACATTAAACGTTAAATAATTTTTATTGACTTTTAAAAAAATTAATATGGGAGGATTACTTTCATAGTTCTTTACAAAAAGAGAAAATTCTTAATCTTTATTGAGTATATTTTTATTTCCTCTTTTCTTCTTTGCTTCATTCCATGAAGCTCAAATGAATGTATAGTTCACATTTTTTAAATTATACAAAACTCCCAGTTCACACATTTCTATTAACTTATCAGATGATGATGATGATGATGATGATTTGGTGTGGGGGATTGCACCCAGGGCCTTGTGCACGTGAGGCAAACACTCTACAAACCGAGCTATATCCACAGCTCTCAGATTATTATTTAAACATTGTTTTCCTTCTTGACTTCTTTACTTTTATTTTGCTCACTTTTAAATTAAAAAATATATAATCTTTAAAAAACGAGGTAGGAAATAAACGGCACATAAGCTTAAGAAAGCAAAAAAAAAAAACTAGATCGCATAAAATATTTTCCATATCCTCATGTCATCTGTTTATTCATTAATAAAGTAATGATAACAAGGGGAGTCAATTTGGTCTAATTGACACTGGGGCCTGGAAATAAAAGTAACACTGGAGACCTGATTATGAGAACTTCATAGAGCTATGAAAATGTGACCTCAAGCATTTTCTGTCACACAATACAATTTAATCTGGTAGGGTTTGTTCCTCATCCAAGAAGGGAGATGACAGTGGCAGGGCAAACACTTCTGAGGGCCTGAATTTAGTGATTGACAGGAAACTGCCAGGAAGCAAACTGAGGTAGCAATTACTTACTGAGCTCTCTGCTGAACATACTGTAAACAGTTTCACTGCTACAATCTTGTAGATTTATACAATAGGGATACAATGTCCACTCAATGTTTCTCAGCCTCTTTCTTCTGTCAAAGTCACTGAAAATCAACTTTATAGTTCTACACTGATTCCAGGGCAAATTTTACATCTATGCATTTCTTTCTTTTCTTTAGTCTTTAAAATGGAATCTGTTCTAAATAGGCTTATAAACCGTCTGTACTCCTTGAGGGATGTCTGCATATGTAAACAGCACACTAAGTCACAATAGGACTCATGATAGTAGGTACAAAATGACATCTAAGAATACTTGTAGGTTAGGAGCAAAATTTTACAACTTCAGCAAACTGACTTTTGGGGCAAGATAATTCCTTGCTGTGGGGACTTCCCTGTATATTGTAGGATGTTTAGCAGCATCTCTGATGCCTACTAGCTAAACAACAGCAGCCCAATTTCCCAGTTTAACAACCAAGCATGTCTCCAAATACTGCCAACTATCCCTGGAGGCAAATTACACCTGACTTAGAGTGAATAGCAGAGAGTCTGATTTCTTAAATAAGCTATAACCAGTTTCTACATATAGGAAGTCTACCATGTAGGCCAAAGTAAATAAATATGATTTAGTTTTTAAAAAATTAAAATTACTCAATTCTATATTATTATGGTTCTAAATAATTTTATATTACCATGATGTTCTTTGAAGACCCAAAACTAACCATTTCAATAGTGAGATGACACATCATATCTCAGTTTTTACCTTTTTAGAATTGCACAACATACCCGTCTTACCTATACATCTCTAACCAGATGCTTTTGGTGTCTACATTAAGCATGAGGAGAAATTTCTAATTCATAGCCTCTTATGAAGATTCTGAGAAACATCATTTAATATTTCTTCTCTAACTATTGAATCACTCAAGTTTTATTTGCAAAGAAGCTTTATAAATAATGCAAGTTTCCCATAACTTATTTTATTATAAAATAAAATTTTAAGTTTTTTTTCTTTTAGTATTACTCATTTATTTACCTTAAAAAGGTCTTTTTTATCCCCAACCTTACTGTTATCTCTACAACATACTAGTTTATACCATTATAAACCTCTAATATAATCATTTCAAAACTTTTTCTTTATGACATTTAAGGTTTCCACTAATTTTTTTTAGAAACTGTGCTTATTTGTAAGGGGTTCTCACACTCATAACATGGGAGTCTATTACTCTAAGTCTTTCCCTTGAAAGATCATCAGATATATAACAGAAACCACTGAAAAATACACATACTTGCTCCAGTGCACTTTCCCTTCCAACGCCTGCATCTCACCAAGGATGGCGAGGAGGAGAGAGGACTTCCCACATCCTACTTGACCCACAATCATGGTTAACTGACCTAGAGAGACAAAACAAAGGATAATAAAGAAGATGGAAAGTAACTTTCAGCAAAATAAATTAAGACACATTTAGAAATGATGGCCCCCAAGAGGAGAGACAACTTAATCTAGGAGACAAACCTGACAGCAGAAATTAGAAATCCACTGACTATTATCAGATGCCATCATTTGTTGTAAGAGTCAGCAAACACATTTCAAAACGGATTTGTAATTTATTAAAAAATAAAAACTCAGCTAACTGGGAAAAAAACACATTTATAAAAACACATTTATGAAGGGCCTGGTCTGGTTTCTAGCAATAAGGTCATCTAAATAGCTCCTTTCTTGTTGTATTTGTCTTTGTTGAAAAGGAAAGAAAAATTAAAATATGTAGGTCTTAACTTATTATCTTAAAATGAAAAATTGCTGAAATTGTTAAAGACTGCAATGAAATAATTTCCTAAATCATCTAGATTAGTTTTAAATTTATTATTCAATTCACTCAGGAGAAAAAGGAAGTTTTGAGTAAAATAGATAAATGAGGTGAAAGTGATTTGAACTAAGTTACTAAGACATTCCCCCTAAATTCTCACTTGGGCCTGCAGATGTTACGGAGAAGTACTAACCTACTGACTAGTAGGTCATGTCAAATAAATATCTCTATTTAATTATCCAGATATTTCAAATAAATTTATTGGCTTTATTTCTATTTTTTCTCTTTAATACTTGGGTATAAATGGTATTGTTTTCTAAATTTCCTTTATGGACTGCTTGTTGATCCTATATAACTGTTAGGAATAAATATGGCCAACAAGGAGAAAGGCTTGTATACTAAAAACTATAAAACAGTAATTTAAAAAAATTGTGGACAACACAAGTATAAGTGGAAAAATATCCCATGTTCACACATTTGAAGAATTAATATTGTTAAAATGTCCATACTTTAGAACATAAACTAGAGATTCAATGTAACCTCAATCAAAATCCCAAGGGCATTTTTAACAAAAATTGAAAAATTAACTAAAACTCATATGGAACCACAATAGATCCAAATAGCCAAAGCCATCTTCAGAAATAAGAATTCATCTGGAAACATCATAATTCTTTACTTCAAAATACAATTACAAAGCTGCAGCATTCAAAACAATGAGGTACCTGCTACATGAAGACAAACACAGAGACCAAGGGAACAAAAGAGAGAGCCCAGAAATAAACCACATATACCACAGATCCTCAACAGAGACAGCAGAATAACGAAATGGGGAAAGCATAGTTTCTTCAACTAGTGATGTTGGGGAAATAAAATTCACACACAAACAAATGAAACTAGACTGATAGATTGCATGATGCACAAAAATCAGTTCAAAATGCACTAAAGACTAAACTGCCAGACACAAAAATATAAAAATCCTCGAAGACAAATAGGGGAAAAACTTCTTGGTAATGATTTGGCAATGATTTCTTGGATTTGACATCAAAATCAAAAACAACAAAACAAAAAGTAGAAAAGTAAAACCACATCAAAATAGAAACCTTTTGCCCAGGAAAGGAAATGATCAACAGTGGGAAAATTCACTGACAAAATAGGAGAAAATATTTGGGGGAGGGGGGGGCGAAATAGCACAATTTTAAAAATGATCAAAGGAGTTTAATACATATTTCTCCAATGAAGACATAGGAATTGTAACCAGGTACATAAAAAGAGGTTTAACACCACTAATCAAGGAAATGCTGATCAAAATCACAGTGAGATATCACTTCACATCTGTTAGTATAGTTATTGTAAAAAGCAAGATAACAAGTGTTGGCAAGGATGTGGGGAAATGGAAACCCTATAGACTGTTACTGGAAATGCAGAACTGTACAGCCACTATGGAAAGCAGAATGGCAGTTCTTCAATTTAAAAACAGACCTACTATATGATTCAGCAATCTCAGATCTCAGTGTAGAGGCAAAATAATTACAATTAGGACCTTAAAGATATACCTGCACTCCATGTTCACTGTAGCATTATTCAGAATATCCAAGATAGAGAAACAAGTTAGGTGTTTACTGACAGATGAATAGATAAAGAAAATGTGGTATTCATGTACAAATAAATATTATTTTCTCTTGGAACAAGACACAGTATAAGTAATAAACAAGTAATAATATACCAAAAAAAAAAAGAAATACCATTTTCTCTATTTTACTTTAAAAATAAACAAATAAATGGCAAATTAATAAAATTATGGGGTAACTGAGTCTTAAATATCTTGAAAACTTCATCAGTATTCTTCAGAAATAGAAAATAGTTTTCTTACATATGTGTTTTCTTTAAAGCTTTTTGCACACAAAATGAGAAATCAATTATACCACTATTTAAGTGGCACTAACCAGCAGTAAATAACTTGTTCAAAGATTGTCTTTTGTGTTGAAAGGCAGGCTTTATCATTCTAGTCATCCTCCAGTGATATAGCAAATCCTAACCAACTGCTTGTGTCCTTTAAAAGTCCTTTTTTTGTGAGGCTCAATTATCTCAGAAAACTATGATTGTTATAAACAACAATTATGGGCCTGGGGTTGTGGCTCAGCGGTAGAGCGCTTGCCTCGCACGTGCGAGACCCTGGGTTCGATCCTCAGCACCACATAAAAATAAATAGATAAAAATAAAGGTATTGTGTTCAACTACAACTAAAAAATAAAGATTTTTTTTAAAAAAATAACAATTACAAGTGTACATGTGTATAACAAAGTATAACAATGTATAACGAAGGACTCTTACCTGTTGGAATTCGAATGTCTATATTGGATAATGTAGCTAAACCACTGCCCCATGAAAAGTATCCATTTGTGACCTAGAGAATATGAATACAGAAATTAAGTCATCTATGTGGACTATAGAATATTTCTAATTTCAATGCATTTTCTTTTTATAGTGCTGAGACTTTCAAAATGAGGTATGGTAAAAATTCTAGTAGAAAGTTGTAACTAATGGTATAAATAAAAAACAAAGAAGAATCAAAGTGAAAGGAGGATCTTTCAATTAGTGATATTTTGGAGAATGCTAAAAATTACAGGGATTTTCTTTGAAAGTTTAGGATTACTGGATCATTTGTATCTGAGCATCTTTAAAATTAATCATCCCAAATATTATCCAAAGAAATCCTTACACCAATTACTTTCTCAGTACTAGACAACTCCCCAAATCCTGAAGATATAAAGTGAAGAACAGAAATAACCACAGATTTTTCTCACAAAATGACTTTATGGGTTGAGGAAGACTCTGTATTAATGAAATTATTAAAGATGTAGAATGATCATTGTTCATCGAAGTTAAAATAAAGGGTAAAGGGGGCAGGAGATAAACACAGACGTGAGGCAACACTGCTGGGTGGTATAAGTGTCCACAAGACCCTACGTTCATCCCAGCAGTCTATTTGCTTTAGTAGGTCATGTGGACTTGATTACCTTCACAGTTGTAAAAATGGGAAATGAAAGGAGATGTAACAGAACCCAAGGACTAGGAGGGTGAAACAGACAAAGACGAGGGCAAAGAAAGTGCTGGAAAAGTCAGGGGGAACTAAAGATATGCCTAGCTCTTAAGTTAGAATTTTATTTCAAAACCACAAATGATGAAATTTCTGAGCATATTCTTATTTAGGAATTTTTTTAAAAGAATTGGTGCCATCTAAATTGTAACTAAATATTGCCCTAGAAAAGATCTTTGTAAAATAAAGGATGAAAAACTTTGAAAAGACAAGGTTGGGGTTTTCTCTGCAGGTCTTCTATAGCTTGTACAATGTATGGCACAGCATTAATAACCATCACGTAGTTATTTATGGATTGGTCATGGAAGGAGGGAGCACAGACAGGCAGAATGGTTGATCACCTTACAGATATTGGCTATGCACCTGCTGTGTGAGGCTTTGTGTGAGGACTGGTGTAGGCTACAAAGAAGTTATAATGAATGCATCATCCCTGCTTCCTTGGAGCTTGCAATTGATTAAGTAAACAGACCATGGAAAGACAAGTTATGCACTGTGTAGTGATGTTTCTGTTAATGATGGGTTGTGTAGAAAAGGGCAGCCTGGTAAAATTATACTGCCTAGTGAGGCTGTAGTCACCTTGTTTTGCATGCTCTATGATGTCCTCACAGGGACAAAACTGCTTGATGCATGTCTCCAAACTTATCCCACCATCAAGATGCATATGATAAGTGTACTACAAGACAGCACAGGATCAGTACCAAATAGGACAGACAGTAAGAGCAATAGCAGTTCAGAAAAGAAATCATTTATCTAGGATTAGTCAAAAAATTTTTGGAAGAAGAGGCCCTTGAGCTAGTTTTGGAAAACATACTAAATGTCAACAAATGCATTTCTGGGTAAAGTACTACAGTAAGAATTGACCAAAGATCAGAAAACAACGAAATATGTTGTGGGAAATTAGGGACTGAGCTGGCTGGTGCAGGCATTGAAGATACTGTAGCAAAACGACAAATGACATGCAAAGAAATTACATAGCCTCAGAGGTGGAGGAGCCCTTTGTTAAAGAGCAGGCAAGGAAGCTAAAAGAGGTACCAAAATAGATGCATTTGGAAGAGAGCCAGCATGAAGTTGAGAGGCTCCATGTGACACTGTCAAGGTTTTCAGTGCATTGGGAGCTAAGGTTATCTGCAGAAAGAGGAGGAAAAGAGGGAGAAGGAGGTGGGAGGACCGTGGTGACAGGTGAATAGATAATGTAGGTGTGGAAAATAATGCTGAAGACAGGCATGTGCAAGGATCACAAGAACTCCTGAAGGTCACTGAAACTGGAGATAATAAATCTGTGCCAAGCAGTGCCTTTGTGTCATTTTATCCATGGCACTCAGCAGCCTGGTTACAGATGTGCAGAAGTCATGAAGTTAGTTTGCTACAGAAGTGTAATAAAGGACTGGAAGAAAAAATCAGGGGGAGCTGAAGATGTTGGAGATTTCAATGAAGTCAAAAAACAATAAGTATGAAGGTGAATGCTTGGGAAATCTCGAGATCAGGATTTTGTTCAGTGACTGGTTAGTAACATTTTGTTGTCAGTGACATGGAGTAAGATGTTAGAGGGAGAGCAGTTTCAGGTGGTGACCAAGGGTGAACAAAGGGGAGGTCCTGCAAGTGGAGTGACAGTAGATAAAGGATTTCTGAGCTGGATGCAAGATAGGCTGTGAATTTAGAAGTTTAAATCACACCCATGTGAGTCCATCCAAAGGAAGAAGGATGGAATAAGCAAGAGGTGTTAACATCTCATTCAAGGTAGGGGAGTGACTGAGAAGTCCTCTGTTAATAGCTGTGAGAAGGGTAAAAAAGGCCATAGCTTCACCAGAGGGAAAGACGTGGTCTGAAAATAACAGCAAAGAGCTAAATATGTAGCATCACCTCTTGTACTGATGCTACACAGAAATAAAAGAGGACACAACCTCCATTCCAGAAAGACAGGAAGAAGGCCAGCGTCAATTTCCTCTGCTAAAATTTATACTTTCATCTCCTCCTGCCTTGCACAAAATGCACTCATTTCTCTACCAGCAGGGTTAAAATATTGGCTTTCTAACTAGCTGTTTGACTTTGGGAAACCAGTTAACACATCAAATTTGCATGTGAGGTTCACATAAGGATGGATACAATAATGATCATTATACTAGGGTTTGTGATAGAGGGAGGATGAAGGAGAGTTCAAACCTCAGCCCAGCCAGCCACGACCATCACGAAAGATAAGTAAAATGCAGTCATGCATGCTACAGAATGCCAGGGTGCAGTTAGATGGATCATAAAAACACTTAAAACTATCATAAAAACATTTAAATGCTTAAGCAAGCTGAAAGCACATGAATGCTTATGGCAACACTACCTATTTTGCAAGGATATACGCTTGTTTAAGCACTCGTGTCAAGTATATTAGAGCTGGAACCACAACGTTGGGGCTGGAGGGTAAATCTGGGAGCATTAAAGGCAGGAGCCAAACAGGCTCAAAAAAGTCACCCATGGTATGCTTCCATTTATATGAATTATCCAGAACTGACAAATCCATAAAGACAGAATGCAGATTGGTGGTTGACAGTGCCAAGGGGCAGGCAGAACTAGACAGCACCTGTTTAATGGGTGTAAGGTCTCCTTTTGGGGTGATGCAAATGTTTTGGAACTAGGCACAGGTGATTGCACAACATCCTGGATGTTAAATGCCATTTAATTGTTCACTTTAAAATGATTAATTGCTACTATGTGGATTTCATCTGAATGATTTTTTTTTTAATTTTAAAGGCAGGTCCATTATACAGACCTTTGTCTATTTCTTCCTGCTGGAAATGGGTAAAAATGATGAATAAAATATAATTTCTGAAAAATCTCATTTAAGCAAGAGGTAAGGAAATATCAAAAGTCAAAAATATAAGGAAAAATACAAATTTAGAGATGTGGGCCCAGAGGTCTACTTCTTTTCTCCACAGGGTGAAGCATAACTAAGAAGAACAGCAAAAATGCTGTGCATGGTGGTGCACACCTGTAATCTCAGTGGCTCAGGAAGCCCAGACAGGAGTATCTCAAGTTCAAAGCCAGCCTCAGCAACAGCGAGGCACTAAGCAACTCAGTGAGATCCTGTCTCTAAATAAAATTAGGGCTGGGGTGTGGTTCAGTGGTTGAGTGCCCCTGAGTTCAATTCCTAGTACCCCCCTTCCCCACCAAAAAAAAAAAAACCCAAAATGGAAGAAGAAGAATAGCAATAAGGTCTAAGCAATAAGATTCTACTAGATATCAGTATTTAATAGAAAGCTAAAATAACCAAAACAGTGAAAACCTGGGCAAATAGGCCATAGAAAAATAAAGACCTGCATACTATAGATACATACATGAATAGATCCTTGATTTGTATTTGAAGATAGATAGGGACAGTGGTTAATATATAAGGCCAGGGCAAATGAGTTATTATACTTAAAATTAAATAAGATCTTACTGATATATTACCAAAAGAAGTGAAATAATTAGTACTAAATTTCCTACTGATTTTTTTTTTCTGGGATTGAACCCAGGGATACTTAAATACTGAGCGATATCCCAGCCCTTTTTGGCTTTTATTTTGAGACAGATTCTTGGTAAGTTGCATAGGGCCTCACTAAATTGTTGAGGCTGGCTTTGAACTCACAATCCTCCTGCCTTAGTCTTCAGAGCCACTGGGATTACAGGCGTGCCCCACCATGCCCAGCAAAATTTACAATTTAATTATTACTAATTTTTCTACTAATCACATCCCTGCTTAATATTAAACACAAAAATTGATCATAAGTGGATTAAAAGACTAAAAGTGATCTGACCATGGTGGCACAAATCTGTAATTCCAGCGGCTCAGGAGGCTGAGGCAGGAGGATCTGCAATTCAAAGCCAGTCTCAGCAATTTAGGGAAGCCCAAAACAACCTAACAAGACCCTGTCTCTAAATAAAGTATAAAAAAGGGCTGAGATGTGGTTCTGTTTAAGTGTTCCTGGGGAAAGTACTAAAAGTGAAAGGTGTAGATCCAAAGATTTTAGGACCTAATGTAAACTATCTCCATAGCCCCTGAGTAGGAAAAGTTTTCTTAAATGAGAATAAATAAATAAATTACTAGTTAAATAAATAAATAAATAAATAAATAAATAAATAGAAGAATTAACCATAAAGAGAAACTTATATAAACTAGACTATGTTAAAATTAAGAACTTCTGGCCTGGTGTGGTGGCACACACCTGTAATCCCAGCTGCTTGGGAGGTTGAGACAGGAGAATCACGAGTTCAAAGCCAGCCTCAGCAATGGTGAGGTGCTAAGCAACTCAGTGAGACCCTGTTGCTAATAAAATTCAAATAGGGCTGGGGATGTGGCTCAGTGGTTCAGTACCCCTGAGTTCAATCCCTGGTACCGGGGGAAAAAAAATGAAGAACTTCTGTTCATTGAAAGTTACAATAGAGTGAAAAGCCAAGCTACAGAGTGGGAGAATATTGCCACATACATAATTGCCAACATAGCAGAAGCCAATTTCTTTTTTTTAAAGGGGAGGGAAATATAATGAGGCAATTCACAAAAGAGGAAATCCAACTCCAAATGGGGACACCCCCACACACACACACACACACACACAGAGTCTCCCATTAATGATGGTTTGACATAATTATTTTTCTACTTTTTGATGATGTAAAATCATATACATTTAGTAGAAACGGTACTTTGAATCTGGTCTTCTCCTGGGCTAGTGAAGCACAGTGCTATGCCTTCTTGCAATGCCATGCAGCAGCAACAGCAGCAGCAGCAGCAGCAGCAGCAGCAGCAGCAGCGTAGCACATGCCATAGTCATGTGATCAGGAGGGAAAACATTTGATGGTCTGCAGTGCACCATGTCACTAACTAAGCTATAATATTTAGCCAGCAGGTGTGTTAATTATACTTTTGACTTACAATATATTCAACCTATGATAGTTTTTCCAGGACAGAGCCCCATCGTAAGTTGAGGTGCACGTCTACATGAGAAAATGCTCTACCCGACAGTCAGCAGAAACAACAAAAAATGCAAATTAAAACCTCAGTAAAATATAGTTGCATCTCTCCCCTAGCATACAACATGGCAGCAAATCAGAAGCATTGGTGAAGACATGGAGGAACTGGAACTCTCAGTTCATGGTGATAGACATGTTCACTGGCATTATCACTTTGGAAAACAATTTTGCATTATCTAGGAAAGTTGGAGACGCATGTACCCTAATATGCATCAATCATTCATAATAGTTCCTCCAGACTGAGAGATATCTCAAAGTCAGCAAAGCAGAACAGATGAGAAAGTGCTGGGTACATTCATACAATGGAATACTATGCAGTAATGAGAATAAAAGAATTACGGTTTCACACAGCAACACAAATAAATTAGACATACATAATATTTAACAAAAGAAGCAAAACACACATATACACACCTATTTAAACTTAAAAAACGAAAAATATGCTTTTTTTAAAAGGACATATGAAAGTCAAAATGGCATTTATATCTGCAGGGGCAGGTATGAGAGAGTGCGAAGATGTACATTCCAGGGATTTCCGAGGAAGTTTTCAAATATAAATATGTAATGATCTCTAGTATATTGTATTTCACAATAAAACACAGCTCAAAAAGATAAATGAATTATTAGGACCTAAGAGTTTTCACTAGGAATAAAAAAATTGGAGTTTGAAGGTGAGTTTGAAACTATGGTGGCTATTCTGAAGCACAGTAAACTCTAGAGGTGGGATTAGCACTAGTTTCTTCCTCCAGTGACAGACTTGCTACAGTTGTGGCATACCTATTGTGGTACAGGTATTATCAGGTGTCAAGAAGAGTAAGAAGTAAATGTAACTCTTGGCTCTACTATACACCCCACTGAGGCTCCTTTGCTGTCTGATTGCCTTGGACAGTGCAGGGGAGCTGGAAAATTTGGAGTAGCCAAGGTACGTAGGTTTCTAAGAGGGCTAGTTCCAGGACTCTGGTGGTTCTAATGTCCAGAGTCTCTTGGCTGCTGTAGGGAGCTGGTCTAGGGCCTGCACATTTCTGACTTCTATCTGGGACTCTTCTCAGTCATCAGTCCCTCAGCCTGCGTTCCTGGGGTCCCCTATTCTATTTACCTAAGCACACAAGCCTAAGGAGAGTATAAAGAGTTGAGTGTGAAATGAGATCACCACAGGCAGGATGGCGTGATGGGATGCTGAGTGAAGGCATATAACGCTGGCTTAAGCCTTTTGGGTTGAAAACAATTACAATTTATTTCCTCAAAGACTGGGTTTATAATATTGGTGTTCTCTATAAATCTACGTATGCAAGAGCACTCCTCACAGCATACAACACAGAGATATGTTAGATACTAGCTTTAATGCAGATTTATCAGAAAGGCTCATTTTCCAGGTACCAAAACATACTGCTGGAGCTACACCTGTGGTTGGAAGGCAAGGAAGAACTGAGAACAGTAAAACATCTAGGGAAACAGGAAAAGCAGGGAAAAAAAATTTAGGGATTTTTTTTCCAAGTACTATTATGATTCTTACCACTGTACAGAGATTTTGAGGACACAATTTGGGACACTTTTGCAGAAATTCAACATAAAAGAGTAACATAAATGTTTCTCTTTGTGTACAAATCTAGGAAATAGAATAACCTTTATTGCAATATCCTCTGTCTCTGCAGGACGAAGTCTTCTTGTTGATTGCTCATAGCTGTCCAGGTGGTATCTCCCAGGCTGCTTCCTGTTTATAGTTTTTGGCTGCTACATTCCAAATAGAAAAGAACACAAGTTGAAGCTTTATGAAAAAAAAATTGAGGTTTTGCTGAACATTAACACATTGCTACTTCAATTCCAAGAAAAAGAAACAAGTGAATGTCATGTTATGATTTTTTCAGTGGCTTCTCCATAAAAGCAAATAATGAAAAAATGTTGAGCTATGATGTGAAACCTAATTCTCTAGCCTCTTATAAAAAAAAAAAATGAAAAGAAGATGTGGTACTTGCAAGTGATGGAGGTGAAGTACTAAATCCCAAATAAGGATCTGGATATTTTTTCTCCAGCAATGTGGATGAATCTATCTAGGGAGTAAAAACCTGTGTGTCCTACCAAAACGTTATCAGATTAACTCAGGTCAAATTAGAATCCACATCAGTTAGGCCCACTGGGCTTATAAGCATTCCAGCAATGTACTGTTGATCATTCTTGGAATCATGAGGATTTAGAGTCTAATTCACTCACATAAACCAGAATGTTCTACACATGGATCTACTGTGGGTTGGCAAAAGCAAAAACCTCCAGGATCTTTTGCTGAAAGATAACCAGTGTTTCATAAGGAGATACCTATGTATTATAGGATGATCTACTCTATGTCCAATATTATCGCACTATTTCTAGTTAATGGTCTGAAGCATTCTAGAGAGGAAGACTGCTGTGGTGAGAGAGACCATCTTCAAAAATGTGAAGTAAACTGAAGTCTAACTAGAAATTTCTCATTCTCTAATTTTGAGTTTAATTTCACATGTTTAAAGTCACATGGCTAATGACTTGTACATTTACATCTCCAGTGCTGATTTCACATAGCTAGAGATGAATTTCTAAGGAGAAGGTAAAAATTTAGCTACATAAACCTCTAACTTGGAAAAAGTTCTAAGCTCAAAATTAGTTCCAGGAAGTTAGCAAACAAGTATTTCAAGATAAATGACTATCTGCCTTTTTAAAATACTTCATGGGAATTATGAAAACTAAACAGTAATATACTTTAAAACTTAAATTACCTAGAAAAGCAAAGGATTCTGGAATAGTGAAACTTTTTTT